CGGGCACGAGGCCGCGGCCCCCCGTGAGCAGGGACCGACCGTCCTGGCCTTCCTATGGGCCTACCACGACATGCTCTTGGAACCTAAAAGGGTTCCCAGAACAAAAACAATGTTCTCAGAACATAAGCCCGATGCGATAAAAGAAGACAGGCTCCGCCAGAAATGTTCCGAGAACACTTCGTGGACACCACAAAAGGTTCTCAGAACATTGTTTGGTAGGGCTATCGGCGAGCCAAGACGCTTCGCCACTGCTAGATTCCCGCCGATGCCAGTCTGAGTATGACTCGGAGCTGGCGCCTCCTGCCGGCGCGCTCTGAACATCGCTCGGAGGTGCCACGTCCAGCCGTGGTCACGAGAGCGCCCCCAGAACAGAACTTCAGAGCGAAGTCGTTGTGGTCATCGTGGTCGTCGTCGTGGTCGTCGTCGTCGTCGTTGTCGTCGTCGTCGTCCCCGTCCGTCCATGCAGGCACGGGGACATGCCATGGGACACACATTCTGTATATACATATATATCTAGATATATGTGTATACGTATGTGCATAATATATATATACATATATGTGTTTATATGTTTGTATGTATATGAATGAATATATTCAACACACATCTGTGAATACATGGATATCTGTATGTGGATATATCTATAAATATATACATATAAACGTACATACATATATATATATATATATGTTTACGTGCACAACAATACAACGCCAAGCACGGCACGGCACACGGGCACGGCACGGCACACGGGTACGGCACACGGGCACGGTACGCTTGTCCCGCTCTAGAACCCCAGAGACCCAGCACGGCACGGCACGGCACAACACGCGGGCACGGCACGGCACGGCAGGGCACCCGCGTAGCGGATATTGGGACCCAGACGCGCAGGTGTCGTGTTTCCAAGGGCGTCTCTCGTGCCCCCGCGCGTTGACGCATGCGGGCGGCAGCACTGGGGCCTTCGGCCGAATTGGGTGTGCGTGACGCATGCGGGCGGCAGCACTGGGGCCTTCGGCGGAGCTCCTATGGGGCCACGAAGCGTGTGAGGGGTGCGCCGAATTGGGTGGGGGTGGCGCATGCGGGCGGCAGCACTGGGGCCTTCGGCGGAGCTCCTAGGGGGCCACGAAACGTGTGAGGGGTGTGCCGAATTGGGTGTGCGTGACGCGTGCGGGCGGCAGCACTGGGGCCTTCGGCGGAGCTACTTATGGGGCCACGAAAAGTGTCAGGGGTGTGCAGACTTGGGTGTGCGTGACGCATGCGGGCGGCAGCACTGGGGCCTCCGGCGGAGCTCCCGCACGGGCGGCAGCACTGGGGCCTTCGGCGGAGCTCCTATGGGGCCACGAAACGTGTGAGGGGTGTGCAGAATTGGGTGTGCGTGACGCATGCGGGCGGCAGCACTGGGGCCTTCGGCGGAGCTCCTATGGGGCCACGAAACGTGTGAGGGGTGTGCCGAATTGGGTGTGCGTGACGCATGCGGGCGGCAGCACTGGGGCAGGCCTTCCAGCTCCTATGGGGCCACGAACGTGTGAGGGGTGTGCTGAATTGGGTGTGCGTGACGCGTGCGGGCGGCAGCACTGGGGCCTTCGGCGGAGCTCCTTATGGGGCCACGAAAAATGTGAGGGGTGTGCAGAATTGGGTGTGCGTGACGCGTGCGGGCGGCAGCACTGGGGCCTTCGGCGGAGCTCCTTATGGGGCCACGAAAAGTGTGAGGGGTGTGCCGAATTGGGCGTGCGTGACGCATGCGGGCGGCAGCACTGGGGCCTTCGGCGGAGCTCCCTATGGGGCCACGAAACGTGTGAGGGGTGTGCCGAATTGGGTGTGCGTGACGCATGCGGGCGGCAGCACTGGGGCCTTCGGCGGAGCTCCCTATGGGGCCACGAAACGTGTGAGGGGTGTGCCGAATTGGGTGTGCGGGACGCATGCGGGCGGCAGCACTGGGGCCTTCGGCGGAGCTCCCTATGGGGCCACGAAACGTGTGAGGGGTGTGCCGAATTGGGTGTGCGGGACGCATGCGGGCGGCAGCACTGGGGCCTTCGGCGGAGCTCCCTATGGGGCCACGAAACGTGTGAGGGGTGTGCCGAATTGTGTGTGAGCGGGCGGCAGCACTGTTCGGCGGAGCGAATGTGAGGTGTGCCGGGGTGTGGGTGACGCATGCGGGCGGCAGCACTGGGGCCTTCGGCGGAGCTCCTATGGGGCCACGAAACGTGTGAGGGGTGTGCCGAATTGGGTGTGACGCATGCGGGCGGCAGCACTGGGGCCTTCGGCGGAGCTCCTATGGGGCCACGAAACGTGTGAGGGGTGTGCCGAATTGTGTGTGGGTGACGCATGCGGGCGGCAGCACTGGGGCCTTCGGCGGAGCTCCTGTGGGGCCACGAAGCGTGTGAGGGGTGTGCCGAATTGGGTGGGGGTGGCGCATGCGGGCGGCAGCACTGGGGCCTTCGGCGGAGCTCCTAGGGGGCCACAAAACGTGTGAGGGGTGTGCCGAATTGTGTGTGGGTGACGCATGCGGGCGGCAACACTGGGGCCTTCGGCGGAGCTCCTATGGGGCCACGAAACGTGTGAGGGGTGTGCCGAATTGGATGAGGGTGACGCATGCGGGCGGCAGCACTGGGGCCTTTGGTGGAGCTCCTATGGGGCCACGAAGCGTGTGAGGGGTGTGCCGAATTGGGTGTGGTGACGCATGCGGGCGGCAGCACTGGGGCCTTCGGCGGAGCTCCTATGGGGCCGACGACGCAAGCACTGGGGCCAGCTCCTATGGGGCCACGAAACGTGTGAGGGGTGTGCCGAATTGGGTGTGGGTGACGCATGCGGGCGGCAGCACTGGGGCCTTCGGCGGAGCTCCTATGGGGCCACGAAGCGTGTGAGGGGTGTGCCGAATTGGGTGTGGCTGACGCATGCGGGCGGCAGCACTGGGGCCTTCGGCGGAGCTCCTATGGGATCACGAAACGTGTGAGGGGCGTGCCGAACTGGGTGTGGGTGACGCATGCGGGCGGCAGCACTGGGGCCTTCGGCGGAGCTCCTATGGGGCCACGAAACGTGTGAGGGGTGTGCCGAATTGGGTGGGTGACGCATGCGGGCGGCAGCACTGGAGCCTTCGGCGGCGCTCCTATGGGGCTACGACACGCTGTACTGGGTGGGTGAAACGCAGGGAAGAGGGGGAGGAGGGAGGAGGAGGGGGAGGAGGAGGAGAGGAGAGGAGAGGAGGAGAGGAGAGGAGGACGCGGGGACCGTCTCTTCAAAACGAGGACCCAACACCACAGGATGGTTGGGAAAAAAGAAGGGACTCCACAGCGACTCCGAAGCACTGCCCGCCTGAGGAAGATGGTCGAAGCCACGGAGGCTGAACGGATCCTGCTAGTAGGATGGTAGGGATGGCCCTCGGAGGGCTTCCAACGCCCCGGAGGCTCTCCGCTGCCAGTGCAACCCAGAGGAGACGGAGAGGAAGCAAGAAGCAGGCAGACAACGACGGACGCGGAGGCGGGAGGCCAGGGCAGGCGGGACGAGGCGACAGGGCGGGCAGGCAGAGGAGACAGAGGGAAGGCAGCAAGCGGGGGGCAGGGCGAGGAGGAAGACGAGGAGAATGAGGAGAGGGAAGGCCAAGGCACGCATACGGGGCCCGGGTGACGGGGGCGAGGACCCCAAGACTGACCCATGAGGGCCCCCCCAAAAGGGAACTCGGACTGACATGTCGCACGCTCCGACCCAAGATGAATCGAAACCGCCAGCAGTTCACAAGAGGCCCCCGAGAGGCCGCAAGACACCCCAAACACCGAATCCGAAAGAGATCCACACAATAATCCCAGGGGCATCTCACATACAACCCAGGCACGGGACGTGCATCTGTACATGTATATGATGTGTGCATACATATTTATAGGTGGATACCTGTATACATGCATAGACATGTGTAGATGTTGTGCATATGTGCGTCTGTCAATCCTCTACTTGCTCTGAAGTGATGGTCTTCGTGTCGAGGCGTCGTCGTCGTCGCCTCCGTCGTCATCGTCGCCGTCTGCGGCCCCCCAGGCGGCGGTGACGTCGTCGTCGGCGTGGTCGTCGTTGTCGTCGTAGTCGTTGTCATCGCCATCACCATCGCCGTCGTCGTCGACTTTGTCGGTGTCGTCTTTGCGACGTGTCGTCGCCGTAGTCGGCGGCAGCGTCGTCGTGGTCGTCTGGGCCGTTCGTCGGCGTGGTCGGCTTCGTCGTCCGCATCGTCATCGTCGGCGAGGTCGTCGGCGTGGTCGTCGTCGCCATCGGTGGCACCCCCCCCGCGGGGGCGGCCAGTTCCAGAAGCGCAGCCGCAGATCCGAGCCGTCGTAGCCGCCGCAGGCGAGCAGCGAGTCCGCGAGGCACAGACCTGTCCCCGAGCGTCGCCGTCGTCACCTACTCCTCCTTCTCCATCTCCCGCTGCTCCTTCTCTTCCTCCTCCTCCTCCTCCTCCTCCTCCTCCTCCTCCTGCTCCTTCTCCTCCTCATTTTCCTCCTCCTCCTCATCATCCTCCTCCCTCTGCCCCTTCTGCTCTTCCTACACTTCCACATCCTCCTCCTCCCTCCTCCTCCTCCTCCTCCTCCTCCTGCTCCTCCTCATATTCTTCCCTCTCCTCATCCTCCTCCTCCATCTGCCCCTTCTGCTATTCCTACACCTCCACATCCTCCTCCTCTTCCCTCCTCCTCCTCCCTCCTCTTCCTCCTCCTCCTCCTCCTCCTCCTCCTCCTCCTACAGGAGGAGAAGCAGTAGGAGAAAGCAGAGCGCTGCTGATCCGATCGAGGAACGGTCGATGGAGGATCGAGGTGTAAAAATGATCATGGAGGTCTGCAGGGGACCCCAGAGGCCTCCAGAGGCCTCCAGGAACCTGCGGGGGAGACTTCTGGAGGCCTCATGGCGCCTGTCGTCGTCGTGAGGATGAGATCGGATGAGAGTCCCGGACTCCGAAACTCCCAGGGACCAACTATTGAAAGGGCCCCTGGAGAGGCCCCAGCAGCCCGAAAACAGAGCAAGCCCTAGGCCGTCTGCACCCCCTCCTGCATGGCGAGCCTCCCGTGGAGGCAGGCGCCCGATGGGGCCCGACAACCATAGAACGCCGCAGCCGCGGCTTTTCCAGCACGGAGCGCGGGCCACCGCGGCGGTGGGCCGACCGACGGGCGGCGGCACGGCCGAGCGTCACCCAGGGCACGGGGCGACGCGCAGGGCGTGCCCCCCCCCCGGTGGGCTCTCGGCGGCGGCGGCCCGCGTCCCTCGACGGAGAGGGCCCGCCCCCGGGCAGCACCCATCGAGGTGTCGTCCGTCCACTGCCCGGGCTTGAGCCCGAACTTGTTGAACTCGCCAATCACCTCCGGCTAGCAGGGAGGGGGGGCTCCCAAACCCTGATGCCTCGACGCTTTTGTTCGGCGCTGGCTCCCCCTCGCACCGCGGGCCCCTGGGGGCAACGTGAGAGCCCTGAGGCAAACAGCAACACGAGCCGGGGCGAAGGGAACACCAACGGCAACAGCAGCAATCGCTCTTACGCGCTCGCGTGCCATTCAACAAGTATATCCCCAACCCTCGGTACCCGCCCACTTCGTCTTCGATCGTGCCCCCCTGGGGGTATATCTTCCTCACCTGCCGCGTGTAATTGGTGCAGCCCCTGAAACAGGGGAAGAGAGGACGGATGGAAGGGGGAGGGAGAAAGATGGAGCAGGGGAAAAGCAGGAGGGCTAGGAGCAGAAAGACACGTGGCAGAATCTGACGGGCCCATCGGGCGGGTAGACCCCGACGGGCGGGTCAGAAAGGCGGGCACAAGCGGCCCAGTCGAGAAGGCGTGTTGTTGAAGCGTGAGTACATGACGCGAAAATAACTCGTTGAGATAGCGCGATTTCAGAATAAAACGTGAGAAAGGACAGATCGAGAGCGTCGAGACCGTGAGAGCGTGATTCCTGAGTGTCGAGGGCGCGGCGTCCAAATTGCGAGGAAGTCCCAGGCGAGAGCGCGATCCCTGCATAACTTGTGAGGAAGTCCTGCGCGAAAGCGCCATTTCTCACTGACTTGTGAGAAGTATCAGACGGGAGCCGTTGTTGTTGGAGTTAGAGCCCAACAACACAGTTTGGTGACACCAAGCTTGCCCTGAAAAAAACAAGGTGCGAGCCCCAAGGGGGGGGCACTTTAATTGGACAAATACACTGGCTACTGGCGAGAGAGACTCAAAAATGATTATGATTTAGGCATCGGGATTCAACAACACAAACAAACGTGTCATCCACAACGACAGCAACAACAACAGCAACAACAGCAACATAAACAAGCAGATTAAGACTGATCGCTCTTACCTGCTCGCGTATCATTCAACACTCAGATGCCAAACCCTCGATACTTGCCCTCTTCGTCTTCGATCGTACCCCCTTCGGGTAGATCTTTCTTACCTGCAACGTGTATTTCGTGCAGCCGCTAAGGCAGGGGAAGAGAGGACGGATGGAAGGAAGGGACAAGGGGCAGGCGGGTTGCCGAAGCGTGCGTCCTGCATGAATCGCAAGGAAGTTTCGAACGATAGCGCGATGTCCAAACAAGTCGCGAGGACATCCACAGCGAGAGCGTGATTCCTGAGTGTTGGGGGCGCGGCGTCTGAATAAATTGCAAGAGAGTCCCACACGAGAGCGCGATTCCTGTAGAATGTGTAAGGACATCCCGCGCGAGAGCATGAGTTGGGAATGACTTGCAAGGAAATATCAGGAAGAGGTCGTTGCTGTTGTGAACCAGGGACCAAGGGCACAATTTGGCGGCACCGCACGTCCCCGTGTCAAAAGCATGGTGCGAGCCCGGGAGAAGAACTTGAAATAGACACATACGATTGTTACCAGAGAGGGGTAACAACAATTCTGCTGTCGAGATGAGAATTTGACGACAACCACAAAAACAAACACAACCAAGGCCACAGCCACAACAACAACCACAACGACAACAATTGCAACAACAACTACAACAATAAACACCAACACCAGCAACAACACCAATAATAATAAACACCAACAACAGCAACACTCATTTTAAGACTGTTCGCTCGTACCTGCTCTCGTGCAATTCAACACTAATATCCCAAACCCTCTGTACCCGCCCTCTTCGTCTTCGATCGTACCCCCTCTTAGGGGACATATCTGTCCTACCTGCCGCGCGTAGCTGGCGCAGCCCCTAAAACAGGGGAAGGAGGGGAGGAGCGAAGACAGAAGGGGGAGGGAGAAGGATGGAGGATGGAGCACGAGAGAAAGTTGAAGGAGGAGGGTCAGGAGCAGGAGCACAAGCGGCAGAACAAGTCTGGCGTGTCGGGCGGGCGGACCCTAACAGGCAGGTCGGGCGGGCAGGCCCAGACGGCCAGGTCGAGCGAGCGGGACGCTAAAGCGTCAACCCATCATGAAGGAAGATTCGAGCGATGGCGCGGTTCCCATGTAAATCGTGGGGGGAATCCAGAGCGAGAGTGTGATTCTTGAGTCTAGGGGGGCACGGCCCCGCAATAAGTTGGGAGGAAGTGCCACGCGAGAACGCGATTCTTGGATGAATTACGAGGACGTTCCGCGCGAGAACGCGAATGTGAAATACACTGTGAGGCTATCAAGCGGGAACCATTGTTGTTGTAGTTCAAGGCCAAGAACCAATTTGATTCTGAAGACTTTCCGTGATAAAACACTGGGTGCGAGCCCTAGGAAGGGCACTTAAACTTGACAGATATAACATACGCCGAGGGGGCGATCAACAACAATTATTTCTAAAGGGTGATAGTTCAACACCAACAGTCATTCAAGACTGTTCGCTCGTACCTGCTCGCGTGCCATTCAACACGAACATCACAAACCATCGATACCCGCCCTCTTCGTCTTCGATCGTACCCCCTCTTGGGGACATATCTTTCCTACGTGACGCGAGAGCGCGATTTCTGCATATCCCGCACGAGAACGCGATGTGGGACTCCATTGTGGGGAATTCTCAGACGGGAGCAGTTGTTGCTGTAGTTCGGGGCCCAACAACGCAGTTTGGTGATCCCTCGCTTGCCCTTGTAGAAAAAAACAGGGTGCGAGCCCCAGGGAAAACACTTTAATTGAAACATGCATTTGTTACCAGGCAAGGGGGATCAACAACAATGATTCTTCAGAAATGAGAATGCAGTCATCATCTGATGACTATTCGCTTTTTATCTGCTCGCGTGACACCCAACACTCATATCTCAAACCCTCGATGCCCGTCCTCTTCGACTTCGAACGTACCCCATTCGGGGTACATCTGTCTTACCTGCAGCGTGTATTTAATGCAGCCGCTAAGGCAGGGGGAAAAAAAAACAAATGGAAAGAAGGGACAAGGAGCAGGCGGGTTGCTGAAGCGTACGTCCTGCATGAATCGCGAGGAGGTCTGGAGCGAAAGCGCGATCCCCAAATAAATCGTGAGGACATCCACAGCGAGAACCTTGTCGAGGGCGCGGCGTCTGAATAAATTGAGAGGAGGTCTCACGCGAGAGCGCGATTCTTGTATACATTGTAAAGAAATCCCGCGCGAGAGCGCAACTTGGCAAGGCACTGAAAGGAAGTATCAGGCGGGAGCCGTTGTTGTTGTTGTTGTTGTTGTAGATCGGGGGCCAACAACGCAGTTTGGTGACCCCTCGCTTTCCCGTGTGAAAGACTAGGGTGCTAGCCCCAGGAGATTCAGACCGGAGGGGGGATCAGCACTAACCATGTCTTAGAACTGAGAATTCGACGACAACGACATCAGCAACAACAACATAACAACAACATAACGACAACAACAACAACAACAACAACAACAACAACAACAACAACCACAACCACAACAACAACAACACCACCAACAACACCAACAACAAAAACAACATCAACAACAACAGCAGCAGCAACAACAACAACAACCACATCAACAACGACAACAACAGCAACAACAACACCAACGACAACAACAGCACAAACAACCAAACCAACATCGACAGCAACGCCAACAACAACAGCATCAAACACAACATCAACAACAACAATCGCAACAACAACAACGAACCCAACAACAAACACCATCAGTTTAAGACTGTTCGCTCTGACCTGCTCACGTTCCATTTAACACGTATATCATAAACCCTCGATGCCCGCTCTCTTCGTCTTCGATCGCACCCCCGTTGGGGGGCTTTCTGTCTTACCTGCAACGTGTACCAAGGGTTTCGCGCCCAAGGAGAGGGCAATACGTAGGCACATGCTTGAAACACTACGGGTTCAAGCTCAAGGAGAGGAGCAATGTATAGGAACATATGCAAAGCACTTGCATCTGAGCCCCAGAAGTATGGCAATCAATAGGAACAGGCGCAATATTTCTCAAGAAACGAGACTCCAAGCGTCCCGCGAAAAAAAAATGTTCTTTTCTGCTCGCATGTCTTTACTCAGCATGTGCATCCCAAACCCTCGACTCCCGCTCTTTTTCGCCTTCGATCATTCCCCCTTGGGGGCATATGTTCCCTACCTGCCACGTTTAGTTGGCGCAGCCTTCAAAACAGGAGAAGGGAAGAGGGAAGGGACAACGGGGAGAGAGAAGAATGGAGCACAACAGGAATTTGCAGACGGGGGGGGGCAGAAACAAAAACAAGCGGAAGAACCGGGCGGGCGGGCCTGGCAGGGCGGGTCGGGCGGGCAGGCCCAGACAGCGGGGTCGAGCGGGCGGGTCGCTGAAGCGTCACTCCTGAATGAGTCGCGAGGTCTCGAGCGATAGCGCGATTTTCAAGCAAATCGTGGGCTCGGCTAGAGCGAGAGCGTGATGCCTGAGTGTCGAGGGCGCGGCGTCACAATACACTGCGAGGAAGTCCCACGCGAGAGCGCGATTTCTAAATACATTGTGAGGAAGTCCCAAGCAAGAGCGCGATGTTGAACAGGTGGCACACGACCCATGGCTCTTGCACATATTCGAGAGGAGGGAGGAGGAGGAGGAGGAGGAGGAGGAGGAGGAGCAGGAGGAGGTCCAGGAAGAGCAGGAGGAGCAGGAGGAGCAGCAGCAGCAGGAGGAAGAGGAGGGGGAGGGAAGAGGGAGGACGACAAAGAGGAGGAGGAGGAGGAGGAGGAGGAGGAGGAGGGGGAGGATAATGATGGACTGAAGAAATGAAAACAAATGGCGACAGAGACAATGGAGGACATGGGAGACAGAGGACGAGGCGAGATGGCGAGAAAGGGAAGACGAGGAGTGAGGAGGACGAAAAGAAAAGGGAGCGTTGTGAGCAGGGAGCGGAGTAAGTAGACGAGGAGGGACATCAGGGGAGGGAGCAGAAACAGTCATAGAGGCGAAGACGGCGAACAGGGGTCTGCAGGGCGGTCAGGACCATGGTTCGGGACTTGCGGCCGTGACAGCGGGGGGCCACAGCGGAACCCATGGGGCTGAGCCGCAGGGCCGACAGTGCCGAAACGAAAAGGTCGGGGTGGGAGGGGGGTGCGCTGGCTGGTGGGCGAAGTGGAGCTGAGCTGGCTGTGGGCGGGGTGGCGCGGCGACGGCGCCTCACCAAAATCAAAGGATCGGGGCCCAGCAAGCGCACTGGCTGCCGGGCGGGGAGGAGATGGGCTGGCTGCCTCTGTCGGGGGAGGCAAGGGCGCGCCGCCAGTGCCGCGCCTAAAAAAACGGTCGGAGGGGCCGCGCTGGCTCCTCCCTGCTCCTCCCTGCTCCTCCTCCTCCTCCTCCTCCTCCTCCTCCTCTTTGTTCCTCCTCCTCCTCCTCCTCCTCCTCCTCCTCCTCCTCCTCCTCCTCCTCCTCCTCCTCCTGGGGAGCGGCGCCGCTGCCGTGCAGAAGTGGAGAAAAGCTCAGGGCGGAGGGGGCGCGGCGCCCGTGCCGTGCTGGGGCATGCTGGCTGGCGGGGGAGGGGGGAGGCGGGCTGGCCGCTGCGGAGGGGGGCGGAGGGGGGACCGGTGCCCCGCCGGAAAGGGGTTGGGGCGGAGGCGGCGCTGGCGGCTGCGGAGGAGGGCGGGGGACTGGTGCGGCGCCGACGGAGAAGAAGGTCAGGGCTCAGGGGGCGCGCTGGCTGGTGGGAGCTCGAGACACACTGTGCAAGATAATGAATCATGAGGAAAGATCTGGCGGGAGCCCTTATTGTGGTAAATCGGGGGGGGGCAACAACGCATTCTGAGGCCCAAGACTTACCCGCGTGAACAAACAAGGTGCGAGACTCAGGAGGAACGCTTGAATTGAAAAACACAAGGTGCCCTGGAGGAGGGATCTACTAGAATTTTTCTGTAAAGATGAGAGTTCAAAGAAACAAAATCCCTGGGGAAGGGGCCGAGAGCTCCGAGGGCCGCGTGATGGAAAACAGCACGGCGTCGGGGTCTGGGGAGAAGGGAGGCGGAGAAAGGGAGGAGGAGTGAAGAGGAGGCGGAGGGAAGGAAGCATGAGGGGGGGATCCGGAATTATAGTTCGGAAGGACGGGGATCAGGGGAGAGGGAGGAAGGAGCACATGGGGGGAGGGGGGCCACAGGAGGTTAGCACCACGCGAGGGGGGGAGAGAAGCGCACCCTGAAGACGGCCTGCTGTAGAGCCCTCTAATCCAGGAGCCTCGCTAGACCAACACCTGCTGTCAAGGCTCTCCCCTCTCGGTGCCCGTGCGGGGCTGGGGGCCGCATCATAGTACACACACATCAGCTGCATCACGCCGTGGAAAGACCTGACCAGGCCTGCTGCCAGCCTCTCGTCTGGGCAAGACAGGCCCCACGCCGCACGGTAAACGACGTGCTTTCCCATCCGATCCCTCGACATCGTCCCCAGGACTTGTTTCTCGTCGCGGGTTGCGTTTGAAGCCCTGCGGCCTGAAAACGGCGCCTACATGCCACATGCCCCCACCGAAACACAAGTATGAGTTGCATTGAGGAGACGGGGCCAGAGCCCCCATGGGACTCGACAGCCGGAGAGGAGCACCACCCACCGCAGGGTAAATCCACCCGACAGCACCAGAGACCACCATAGGGCTTCTACTGGCGATCAGGTGATAAGGGGGACAAGCGGGAAGGAATGCATGGAACTCGTGCACTTCAGTGAAGATGCCCCCACCCAACCCAAGGCGAAGTGCGTGCGGCGAGAGGGGGGAGGTGCACACTCACTGTGTGCACGGAGGGGTGGGCGTGGATGGGCACCGTGGGTCCCTTCCAGGGTCTGGGCACGACACGCACGCACGCAGCTTCAGTGGAAGCAACACACGCCTCCCCGCAAACATGCAGCACGTGGAATTCAGTAGTGGCATAGACTTCACGGTATTACTCCCCTTTGTCGGTATGCCAACACTTCCTACTCCTCGGTTGCCATCCTGCTCTTACTCTTACCCTATCATCACCACCATCCGTCTCCTCCACCAGAACAGCAAGCCAATGACCCACGCCATGCCACGCCCCCAATCCGGTTGCCGCGCCACCCTGCGCCCCAGAAGCCCTCCAAACGGCGCGCGCCTCGACATGCCATGGGGCCGCCCTGGTCCATCGCCCAGGATGCAGGAACAATGTATTTGTGGTTGTGTCTTTTGACGGGTGGGTCCTCGTTGTGTAGACGACCTGGGCACGCGCAAATCGGTCAGCGCAGACTGGTAGCGAGCTCAGTTGGAAATCAAGAGACTGGTTTGTGCTGAGAGGATGGTGCGCCTTCACGCTCGCGTTCATTCGCGGAAGTGCCCTCTACTGTTTCCTGCGAGGTAGCGAGAACCAGCCAACAACAATCCAGGCAACAACACACCGGGCAGCAACCAAACTCAGTGACTGGTGTGGGCCGACCGGCTAGCGTTAAGTCGGGCGTGTCCCCCTACAGGGGGGATTTTGGACGAAAAATAAAAACTACCCAAAAACAAAACTCACAAAGGCCCAAAAATACTCCAAACATATGCCCCATACTATTGTTAACTATTTTGGAATTTTCCCCTGGGAGGAGAAGGCGGAGGCTTGGCCTCCAGCGCCGCGCAGGTCCGGGAGCGGGTCGTGGAGGTCCCGCAGAGGCTCGTGGAGGAGAGGCTGGTCGAGGTGCCCCAGGCCCCCCTCGGCCTCGGCGTGCCTCCCTTCGCCATGGTGCTCCCTCGTCTCGCAGCAGCGCCCATGGCAGCTCCCTCTTCCTCACGAGGGACAAGCCCCAAATGCCCCAAAATCCCCCCCCCCCCAAAAAAAAAAACCAGACTATGTTGTAACTATTTTTGAATATCCCCCCTGTAGAGGGACAGGCCCGACTTAAGGCCAGCGCGTCGGCAACTCGCGGGCGGCCCAGCACGTGCACGACCCCTGGCACGCCGCGCGGGGCCTCTCCCACCGGCCCCCGGGCCTTGGCGGTCTTGGGGTCGAAGCGGCTGCCCTTGTGCCCCACGGGCAGGAACTCCAGCCTGCTCGAGGACTCCTGCTCCTCCACCTCCTCCTCCTCCTCCTCCTCCTCCTCCTCCTCGTCCTCCTGCTCTTCCTCTTCCTCCTCCACCTCCTCCTCCTCCTCCTCCTCCTCTTCCTCCTCTTCCTCCTCCTCCTCCTTTTTTTTCCTCCTCCTCCTCCTCCTCCTTGTTCTTCCTCCTCCTCCTCCTCCTCCTCCTCCTCCTACTCCTCCTCCTCCTCCTCCTACTCCTCCTCCTCCTCCTCCTCCCCCCACGGGCCCTCTGGGAGGTCACGTGTTCGATCCAGCAGAGCTTCCAGGGAACGATCTGACAGGCACACCAGGGCCGGAGGCCCAGAACGGGCATGCAGAGGCCCCGGCGGTGGTAAATACACGATTGCTCCCAACGGTCATGCGGTGTTGGGTCCACGTTTTGACAAGTTAGCTCCCCGCGTCTCCTTCACTCCTCCCCCCTCCCTCCAACATGATCAGCATAATCAGCAACATCATCATCGTCGTCATCACCAGCATCAGCATCATCATCATCAACATCATCATCGTCATCATCATCAGCATCAGCATCAGCATCAACATCAGCATTATCATCACCATCAACAACAGCAACAACAACAACAACAACAACAGCAACAACAACAATTACTAGCACGTGGGGACACTCCGTTCTCACCAGTGCCAGGGTTTTCATAGGAGGCGGGCAATACCCCCACTTTGTGGGGGGGCCGGTTCAAGCTCTACCAAATTTCCAAACGACTCTTCGCCACCACCCACACCCAGCTTCCCGCCCTATGACGTTCGGACACTTCACTTCGTGGCATGCGGACGACCGTGGCTACTATTCAGGGCCCCGCGGCCGACGACGACGGCGTGCGCGCGCGAAGAAAAAACGAATGTGTCCCGCATGGTATTATTTGACAGGGATGATGGCCCTGGCAGGTGCGCAACCGTTGTTGCAGAAGTTCGAAAAAGTTGCTCGCAAAAGCCCGTTTGACAGAAATGTTTAAAAAGTGTTGGGTTTCCTACGAATCCGCAAGAGCGCGCGGGATGAGATTTTGACATTTTTTTGTTGAAAAACCATTGGTTTTTTGATGTTTTTATGTTAAAATCGCTGCGAACACTAAGGTTTTGGAAGGATTTCGTCTTGCGCGCGCGAATGTCCACTTTACCTTATTTTTTGCAAGGGATTCTTGAAATTTGATTATATTAGAACAAGAAATGTCATTTTCTATTGTTTTTTGCAAGGGAAAGCGGATTACAACAAAACAACCGGATCCTGTACACACCCTCTTTTCTGAGGCTTCCTCACGAAAATGATGAAAATGTAGCTGCGGCCTAGGCGGCGCAGGGGGGGCGCGCACCAGGGGGCCCAACAATAATTATTCTTTAGAATAAATAATGTTCAACAACAACATCGCGGTCATCATGACCATCATGGTCATCACCCCTCACGTTTCGTGGCACCACAAAAAGCTCCCCCAAAAATCTTAGTGGCACCGTTCGAATGCGTCCGGAACACCCATTTCGGCGCACCCCTCACGTGTCGTGGCCCCATGGGGAGCTCCACCCAAGACCCCAGTGGCGCCGTTTACATGCGTCCGCGCAACTCATGTCGGCACACTCCTCACAATTTCCGTGGGCCCATAGGGGAGCTCCACCCAAGGTCTCCGTGCACCGTTCGCATGCGTCCGCGCCACTCATGTCGGCACACCCCGCACACGTTGTGTAGCCGCACGGGGAGCTCTACCGAAGGTCCCAGTTGCCCGGTTGGCATGCGTCCGCACCACCCATATCGGCACACCCCTCACACCTTTCGTTGACCCATTGAGAGCTCCACCAGAAGCCCCAGTATCACCGTACGCCTGCGCCCGCGCCACCCATTGCGGCGCATTCCTCAGACGCTTCGTGGTCCCACAAGGAAATCCACCCATGGCCCCAATGGCACCGTGCGTATGCGTCCGCCTCACCAATTTCGGCACACTCCTGAAACGTTTCGTGGCCCCATGGGAAGCTCCACCCAAGGCCTCACAGGTACCGTCCACATTGGTCCGCGCCACCCATGTCGGCGCACCCCTCACACGCTTCGTTGCCCCATAAAAAGCTCCACCCAAAGCTTCAGTGTCACCGTCCACATGCGTCCGCGCCACGTAGTTCGACACAGCCCACACACGTTTCGTGGCCCCATATGGAACTCCACCCAAAATCTTTTGTGGCACCGTTCGCATGCGTCCGGAACGCCCATTTCGGCGCACCCCTCACGTGTCGTAGCCCCATGGGGAGCTCCACCCAAGACCCCAGTGGCACCGTTCACATGCGTCCGCGCAACTCATGTCGGCACACTCCTCACAATTTTCGTGGGCCCATAGGGGAGCGAGCTCCACCCAAGGTCTCCGTGCACCGTTCGCATGCGTCCGCGCCACTCATGTCGGCACACCCCGCACACGTTGTGTAGCCGCACGGGGAGCTCTACCAAAGGTCCCAGTGGCACGGTTGGCATGCGTCCGCACCACCCATGTCGGCACACCCCTCACGCGTCTCGTTGCCTCATTGAGAACCCCACCAGAGGCCCCGGTGGCAACGTTCCCATGCGTCCGCGGCACCGATTTCGGCGCAGCCCTCACACGTTTCGTGGCCCCATAAGGCGCTCCACCGAAACCGATACTCACAACTGCGGCACTCACAACTGCACATGGTTAGCGCCTTCGCCCGGCGAGTTTCTTTGCACATGGTGTTTGGTCGCGGTGACAGATATAATCAAAGTTTTGCCAGACGGAACTTGGTGAGGGTACATGGCCCCTTTTGAGCGCTGGCAAGCCACCAGAAGACCCCCTGCCTTCTTATTGAGCAGGGACCGACCGTCCCGGCATTCAAATAAGCCTACCACGAAATGTTATCAGAACCCAAACATGTTCCAATAACACAAACAATGATCTGGGAGCATGTGCCCGATGTGTTAAAACAAGACGCTCCCAGCCAGATATGTTATGAGAACATTCCTTGCATACCACAACAGGTTATCATAACATTATTTTGGTGGGCCTATATTCAGAAGACGCTCCTGGGAACCTTTCGTAATCACCTGAGTGGCCGCAATGGCTCCTCCCATGGCCACCATTGGACCCAACTGGCCCCCCGCAAGCCTAGAGCCGCCCCCAGTCTCCTCCAATGGCCCCCCTGCGGCCACCAATGGCCTCCAGTGGCCTCCTGTAGCCTCCAGTGGCCTCCAGTGGCGTGAGCAAACGACTGTGGACCAGTGGAGGCGCAGGAAAGCAAGGCCAACTGACAATAAGAAGCTCCCAGAATCGTCTTCTGAACCTGTAGGCGAGCCAGGACGCTTCGCCACTGCTTGCTTTTGCACTAAGACCTCCCCCGCCTTCTCAGGAGGCCACCCCCTCACGCCTTTCCCCAGCACCCGATGCCCTGATTCTCTCAGAGCTCTGTCCACAGGAGTCCCTGATGCGCCGATTTCCCACCACCGCGGTCATGGGTAGGAGAGGGAGGAGGAGGAGGAGGAGGAAGACAAGGAGGAGGAGGAGGAGGAGGAGGAAGAGGAAGAGGAGGACAGGACAGCACAGGACATCCGCATGGGGGGGTCAACGTCAATGCGCCCGCTAATGTGCAGTGTAGAGCGTATGCGTAATTCCCCTGCGTGAGTGTTATGCAACAAGGACTCGACAGCCCTTCGACATCAGGAGGAGGAGGAGTAGGAGGAACTCCCCATCCTCCCTTCTACCTCGTCCTACCTGTGGCAGTGGTTGTGGAAAATTGGCCCATCAGTCCCGACCCTTTCTCCAGTCGTGCTCTTCATCCCCAGTGCTTTGACGGCAGCGGGGCCTGGCGAGGGCCATCCAGGGGAGGGGGGGGCGACAACTACAAGAAAAAGACGCCTTGAGTTTTCGACATTCACGTTGGAGATACACGTTTCAAGCGGTTGCCTGGCAATGAATCAAGGCTCCAACTGCCGTTCGGGACGATTCGGGCCCTCGGGCACGTTCTGAAGAGACAGTCCCTGGGGTCCCCCAGTTCCTCCTCCTCCTCCTCCTCCTCCTTCCCCGCCTCCTCCTCCTCCTCCTCCTCCTCCTCCTCCTCCTCCTCCTCCTCCTCCTCCCCTCCCCGCCCTCCTCCCCCTCCCCCTTCCTCCTCCTCCCTCCTCCTCCTCCTCCTCCTCCTCCTCCTCCTCCTCCTCCTCCTCCTCCTCCTCCTCCTCCTCCTCCTCCTCCTCTCCTCCTCCTCCTCCTCCTCCTCCTCCTCCTCCTCCTCCTCCTCCTCCTCCTCCCTCCTCCTTCCTCCTCCTCCTCCTCCTCCTCCTCCTCCTCCTCCTCTCCTCCTCCTCCTCACACCCCTCGCACGTTTCATGGACGCATGTGGAGCTCGACCGAAGGTCCCACTGGCACAGCAACGTCTCCCCCGCTGCTTCCAGCACACATCTCACACGTTTCGTGGCCCCACAGGGAGCTCCACCCAAGGTCCCGGTTGCGCAGCTCACATGCGCCCCCTCCCCGTTTCGGCACACCCTCCACGCGCTTTGCACCCCCCCACACAAGGAACTCCACCCAAGGCGGTACTAACGACGACGGTTCTCACATCTGCATATGTATGGGTCCTTCGCCAGGCAAATTTCAATAGAGTGAGGATCCCTGACCTGTGCTTCAAGCCTCGGGGCTTGTTCTCTGGACGCCCGGAATGGGTACGGGAACACATTGGTACGATGCCCATCAACACATGTTATCCAGAACCGACTGCTGCCAATGTTGGCGACCTTCTGTCTCACATGGGCACAGCGTCCGCGGAGACACCGACAGCGAGCCCTGTTCACAATGAGCAGGACCTGCTGTCGGTCTGCGCGCCCATTGTCCCAGAGACCCGATGTAGTGATTTGTTTCCATACGGGGTCCCCGAAGTCTCGACCCATTCCCCGGGACCTATGATTCATCCTGACTCGTTGTTTGAGTCCCGGGGCCCAGCGAGGGGCTCCTGGAGGCCAAAAATTACGAAAACCTCCGCTCCGATTCTTGTCAATGCGTTGCATCTCTGGGGTTGCCGCACCCCTTCTTCGCACGCCGTTCGCCCCTTCGTTCCCGGGAGCGCGCGCACGAAGGGAAAAGGGCCCCCGCGACAGACGACCCCGCGAAGCGACCCTGGCAAGCCGCGGGAGTGCGCGGCCGTCCCCCGCCCCGCAGCGCTGGGCGCGCGCGCGGGCCTCCCCGGGGGGGGGGGGCGCCGCCCGCGGGCTCGACGCCCCATCCGTGGCCGGGCGGCGGTGGCGGTGGCGGCGGCGGCGGCGGCGGCGGCGACGACGACGACGACGACGACGACGACGACGACGACGACGACGGCGGCGGCGGCGGCGGCGGCGGCGGCGGCGGCGACGACGACGAAGACTGGCGACGACGGCGGTGGCAGGCAACAACGGGGACAGCGGGGACGAGGACCACGACGAGGACAAGGCCGGGTGGCGCTTGGCACGCTGCCCAACAAAAACTGTTGTCCAAAACCAGCAGTGGCCGCTGCTGCTGTGCAGCCTGCATTGTGCCCCGAGTGGGCAACGTCCGCGGAGACAACGACAGCGAGCCCCACTGCGACTGCTGTCGGTTTTCGTCCCCACCCTTTCCGTGCCCAGTTCGACCCCGATCGAGGACGCCGAGGGCGAAGACGAGGACGGCGGTCGCGGAGGCCTCCCGCCCACGGAGTCCGCCGCGGCCATGCCCAGCATGGCACCAATGGCCCTCTGGCACCGCACGTCGCGCTCCGCGAGACGCATCAGCTCCTGGAGAGGCCCGGGGGGGGTCTGGCAGCGAAGCGGCCACGGCAGGGGAACAGGCCGTTGCCAGAGGGTCCTGGCCAAAGGTGTCCCCAGGACTTCGAGGGAGGTCCAACGGCCTCCCGAGCAGCCCTCGCGAGGCCCAGGGGGAGGGGCACTATAGGGGCTCTCAAAGGCCGCCACGAGCCAGGGAAACCCTGGTCCAGGGACGCTTTCGGCAGCCCCCGACTTGAGGAGGCGGGGGCAAAAGGAAGGAGTGAGGAGGGAGGGGGGAGGAGGGCTGCGGAGGGACGACGGATGAGGGGGTTGGAGGGATGAGGGGAGGAGGCGGAGGGGCCTAGGAGAGGGGGTTGGTGGAGGGACGAAGGAGGAGGGAGGGGCATGGAAGAGGGAGGAGGGAGGGGGAGGCATAGGAGAGGGGGGTGGATAGAGAGACGAAGGGGGAAAAGCAGAGAAACAGTGAGGAGAAAAACGAGGAGGAGGAGAGGAGGAGGAGGAGGAGGAGGAGGAGGAAGAGAGGAGGACCACGACAAAACGACACCAAGGAGGAGGCCAGGGGACGAGGATGAGGAGGTGGCGGAGGCGAACTTCACCTCCGCCGCCTGCTCATCCTCGTCCCCTCCTCCCTCCTAGTCCTCCACCCAGTGGAGGTGTACGAGGGAGGAGAGGGGAGGGGTGGGGAGGAGGGAAGACGAGAAAAAGGTGTGGGATCAGCAGCAGGAGGGAGAGGACGACGAAGAGTCAATGAGGAGGAGAAGGAGGAGGAGGAGGAGGAGGAGGAGGAGGCGAACTTCACCTCCGCCGCCTGCTCATCCTCGTCCCCTCCTCCCTCCTAGTCCTCCACCCAGTGGAGGTGTACGAGGGAGGAGAGGGGAGGGGTGGGGAGGAGGGAAGACGAGAAAAAGGTGTGGGATCAGCAGCAGGAGGGAGAGGACGACGAAGAGTCAATGAGGAGGAGAAGGAGGAGGAGGAGGAGGAGGAGGAGGAGGAGGAGGAGGAGGAGGAGCGGGAGCAGCCGCAGGAGGAAAAGGTAGCACGTGGGCACTCACCCTGATCGCCAGAGTTCCCCTTGAGGCTCACAGTGGGTTCCCAAGAAGGGGGCCCCGATCGCCACACTCAGAGGTCTGCAACGACAGACGACGTGAGGAAATAGGCAAGCTCGGGACGAGACACGTCGGAGGGAACTCTGAGAACCGGCGGATATCTGGCGCCGCGCCCCTGGCAGAGCGTCCCCAGAAGCCCCTAGAGCGCTCCCGAACGACCTGCGAGAGATCCCTGATGTTAAGTCGGGCCTGTCCCCCTACAGAGAGATTTTGAACGAACGAAACAAATAGTCAAAAGAAATACACCAAAATTGCCCCCCCAAAAAAATGTCAAAAAATAATCCCCATACCACTTGTTGGCTATATTACCTAACAGCGAAGACTGATAGGTTTCTAATGGGGTCAAAAGAGAACATCTGATGACTCCCCAGGGGGGTCTGGGCGGGAGCCGGACGGGCGAGGGCCGGGCTCGTTTAAAGCAAACAGTCACACACTTCGTGCTCTTCGACCTCCCAGAACTCCACTCCCTGGCCACATTTTGAATGCCCGGAGCCAACTGTAGGCCACTTCGTGCTCTTCGACTTCCCAGAACTCCATTCCCGGGCCACATTTTGGATGCCTGGAGCCAACAACTGTAGGCCACTTCGTGCTCTTCGACTTCCCAGAACTCCATTCCCGGGCCACATTTTGGATGCCTGGAGCCAACTGTAGGCCACTTCGCGCTCTTGGACTTCCCAGAACACCATTCCCGGGCCACATTTTGAATGCCCACATTTTGACTGTCTTCGATGGGTGGCACAGATCGAGGGTGCGCGCGACGTCATCCGGAATGGCGTCCACAGGGTCTGCGTTGTCTGCTGGAATCCGCACTGGGCCCCAGAGGCCGTCTTCTGCTACGGCAACGACACGTACAGCACACTGGTGCCTCGCAGCGCGCGATACAATGGCTCATGGAGCCACACGCGCAATGTGATTCTCCGACAGGCCAATTGGGTGACCGAGCCGTTGCTCTCTGCGGCCCCTGTGGCAGCTACGCCGTGGCTGTTGTTGCGGGATCAGGTGACCTGGGAGTGATCTCTGGCAAACAAAATGCGGTGCTTCTCAGCCTGCATTCATGTGACACGCAACGTCGTGGCCTGCACTCGCGTAGTGCTTCTCAGCCTGCACTCTCGCGGTGCTTCTCAGCCTGCGCCTCCTCGGTACTTGCCAGCCGCCGGATTGGCGCGATTTCCTGCAATACAAGCGGGAGAGGTGAAGTATCCGAGCCCGCGTGTCCACAGTGCTTCTCGGCGTGCGTACTTGTAATCCTAGTTCCAGCAGTAGTAGGACTGCGCGGCCGCGGTGCTTCTCAGCCTCCGAGTTTCTGCGGTGCTTCTCAGCCTGCAAGTTTTGCCGACTGTCAGCTTCACACGCCGCTCCTCAGTGCGCTCCTTTTCCGTTTGCGAGATGTCTTCCAAGAATTGGCTGGAGGCCGAGAAAGACGGACAGAACAAATCCAAGTAGCGCGGTCATCATCCCATCATCCTCCTCAATCATCACATCATCATCAATGGCTTCGCCGAGCGACCCGGTGGAGACTCAGGTCTTACGGGTCCGTGCCCATACTACTACTACTACTACTACTACTACTACTACTACTACTACTACTACTACTACTACTACTACTACTACTACTACTACTACTACTACTACTACTACTACTACTACTACTACTACTACTACTACTACTACTACTACGACTACGACTACTACTACTACTACTACTACTACTACTACTACTACTACTACTACTACTACTACTACTACTACTACTACTACTACTACTACTACTACTACTACTACTACTACTACTACTACTACTACTACTACTACTACTACTACTACTACTACTACTACTACTACTACTACTACTACTACTACTACTACTACTACTACTACTACTACTACTACTACTACTACTACTACGACATCACACTAAATCCATTCATGGGAGTGCCTGTTTTGGAGCTACAGTCATTGATGCAAGTGTGTCGTGTGAGGCTCAACCCGTTGATAGCAGTGTCTCGTTTGGAATCACATCCGTTGATAGCAGTGTCTTGTTTAGACCTCAATGCATTTATACAAAGATCTCATTTGGATATACCGTTATCGAAAGCAGTGTTTCTACTGCTACTACCACTGCTCCCATCACTCCTACTCGTTCACTCCACACACTACAACTACTACTTCACTGTTACCACTACTACCATCACTACTACTTTTACTGCTACTACTACTGTTACTATTACTGCTGCTGCTGCTGTTGCTGCTGCTAGTGTAGCTATTGCTACTGCAACTACTGGCAGTGCCACTGCGACTGCCGCTGATGTTGCCACTGCGACTGCCACTGCGAATCCGAATGCGACTGCGAGAACACCAGAATTTTACAACAGCACTCTTACATGAATACCACAGGCAATGTTTCCAGCTATGCTTCTACACATCGCTGTTAGGTTGCTTTGCCGGGATAATTTTTGAAGATTCCTCCTGTAGAGGGACAGGCCCGACTTAACCCTAATGTGTGTCCTTCCCAAAACTACCAGAGCCTCCGCTGGGCAGAACCGGACAGGTCCCAGGCGGGGGAAAACCCTGCCCGGACACTTTTGCTGGCGGCGCGCGCAGGAGCCTTCTCGGAGGCCCCCGGGTCCGGCTGAGCCGCAGGTGGCGACACCCGAACCCTCCTCCTCCTCCTCCTCCTCCTCCTCCTCCTTCTCCTCCTCCTCCTCGCTCCTCGCTCCTCGCTCCTCGCTCCTCCTCCTCCTCCTCCTCCTCCTCCTCCTCCTCCTCCTCTCCTCCTCCTCCTCCTCCTCCTCCTCCTCCTCCTCCTCCTGCCCACACGAACCATCGATTTTCCTGAAGCGATGGGAGGCGGGGTAGGGTTCGGAGTTCGCCACGTGTTCGACGACTTCCGAACCCGGCGGCGCGCGCCAAAGAGCCCACGCCAAGAGCCGCGCGGGCGGGCCGAGCGCGGGCTGCCGCAGGGCAGGCGCAGCCGAGGGGCCGCGGCGCGCGGCGGAGCGAGCGGCGGGCAGCGCAGCCGCGCGAACGGCACCGAGCTGCCTGCCGCGCTGCTCGGCGAGGCGAGGGCTCGGACGCCGCAGCCGAGGCAGGCCCCCCCCGCCGCCTTCCGCGAGGCTCCCCCGCCCCTCCGGGGAGGCCGCCCCCCTCGCGCCCGCCCTGGGTGCGCGCCGCCAACTTCGAGAGAGTGCCGGGCCTGCTGCAAGGCCACGCCGTGCGTCGCTCCCGCGCCGCGCGGGAGCGCGACACCAACCCGCCCCGCCCTCGCGCTCCCGCGTCGGCCCCCCCCTGCGAGGCGGGGATCAGTCCATGTCCACCGCCTGGGAACCGACGTCCTGGTTCCCCGGCAGGCCAGTGGACATGGATACATTCGGGCCCCCGGGGGGCCGAATCTATCCGTATCCATCGCCTGTGGAGGTCCGCGAAGATCGATCCGCCAGGCGGTGGTTATGGATGCATCCCCGCCTCGGACCCCACCCCTGTTGGTCCCCTGCCTCACACCTCCCAGACCTGGCCTTTGGCGCAGTCGTGTGACTGCCTCACCATCCTCGCTGCGACGGGCGGCATGCAGGCGGGTAAAACCAGCCCTCGGCAGCCTGAGCCGAGGGATGGCTGATGACGGATCGGGTAAGGAAGGAGCCAACTGGGATGTCTGGGAGACACTTGCAAGAGAAAGACCAGTCCACCAGCCAGGGCCCGATCCCGAGCGGCGGACAGGGCCGCATCTGCGGCCTCGCGGTCTGGATTCCCGGGCAGGGCTTCCGCGGAAACGCGGCCCGCAAGCCACGGATACAGATATGGTTTTCGCCCACGGCCCGAGAGGTGCGAAAAGGGCGGTTGCTCCTTGGAACTATTGCTGGGCAAGACAAGAAACATGAAATCTGACCAGGGCCGAAGGGGTCTGCGAACACCACCAGGGGAGGCCCCACCACCAGCTTCGATCTTATCCTTAACCCTAAGATTGACAGGCCCAAAAGGCGCTGACAACCTTGGGGATGCGCTCTCAGAGGGTGAGGGAATCCTTAAGACCAACGACGGGGATATGTTCCAGGCTGGTAGCCCCAGGGGAGGCCACAGGCGAGCCCCCTGGAGGCCGCCAACGTCCCTGGAAACCACCGAAGGTCCCTGGGGGCCCTTCCGTGAGGGAGGGCCTCGAAGGCCCTCCTGGGCGCATCCTCGGGGCCTTGTGGGCCGTTCTTGGACGCTCTGCAGAATCAAAAGCCGACCGTGCGAAAATATGCTAACAAAAACCCATGGCGAATTCCAATAATATTAGCCCCTCGGGCCGGCCCTCCGGGCTACCAGGACGGCTCCAAGAGGCCCCCAGAAGACGGCCCCAAGAAGTGGACGCCCCTCAAGGAAGCCCCTGAGTCTCTGGTCGGACTGACTGCAAGCATCCTGCGGCTCGAAGAGATCTAAGAATCGAGACAGCCGGCTGTTCTCAGTTTGGGCCTCTAGAAACGGGGCTCCAGGAGCGTCGAGTCAAACAGTCCAAGACGAAACACCAGCCCCGAGGAAATGATCGAGAGGTCCAGATGCCCACGACTCACAACAATATCGAGACGCGTGTATGTCAGAGACAGTTCCAATCGTAGGTCCTGAAACCCCTGCTCCTCCCGTCCGATGGAGCGGGCGTTGTCAGCGGTGCGAGGTAGTTGCAACAGTTGCGAAGACAAAGAGGACTCGGGATCGTGGAAGGAACGCCGACGCCGAAGAGCACGAGGGTTGACACCGGCTGTGCTCCTCCTTGGCCCACGAGTCCACGGACTGGAAGATGCTGAAGCCCTTGGCAGGGAGATGCCAACCGTCCACCCACACAGGTCCAGGCCAGGCCAGGCCCAGGCCTGGGTCGGAGCATGTGCACCCCTGGGCTAGCCAAGAAAGCACAGGAGCCGAACTGGGGCACAGGGTCTGACCTTCGGTCGGGCATGTCCTTCCACAGGCGGATTTGGGCAGGAAAAAATTGCCAACAAATGCTCAAAATGTGTTTTTCCTGTCCCCAGACTATTATTGTACTATTTTTGAATACTCCTCGTGTCGAGGGACATGCCCGACTTTAAGTCTGACCCAACAGGTGCTGGTAATGACGAGGCCCGCCGACGCCCCGGCCTTTCTCAACACATCACGGGGAGGGCGGTGGCCGTGCACAAGTCCACCATCCCACCCTCGGAGGATTGGCGCGCCCTCCTGGCCTTGAGCTCCCCAGGGCCCGCCAGGGGGTCCCAGTCCAGGCGGTCCGTGCAGAGCTGCTGCAGGACCCTCCTGACAGGCGCGCCAGGAGGGCCCGTCATCACCGCCGCCGCCGCCGTCGCCCTCGGCGTCGCCGCCGAGGAGGGCGGGGGGAGGAGGAGGAGGTGGAGGAGGAGGAGGAGGAGGAGGAGGAGGAGGAGGAGGAGGAGGACCGGAGGAGAAGAAAAAGGACGAGGGCGAGAGGGGCGACCCCCGAGGAGGGCCGGGGGCCCTGTGCGAGGCAGGCCTTCTGCTCGACACGGCCACCTCTCGGGCAGCGCGGCACTGCCTCGCCAGCGCGCGGCCACGAGACGCCGGCCAGACAGCGCTGGCACTGCAGGCGGCAGGCCCCAGCGGCGGGCCCCGGGGGGCCGAGGTGACCTACCAGCCCCAGACCACGACGCCCGCTGCGCCCAGACTGGCTCGAGGGAGCGGGCAGAACGGGCGCCCGAGGAAAGATCGGCCCCTTCAGGGCCTCCTCCCCGCTGGTCCTCCGCGGCGCGCAAAAGCGGCTGGGGCGAGGGGGGGGGCGGCCAACTGCGAAGCCCGGGGTAATCCTCGAAAGAAGAAACAACCCTAGGGCTGACCCGAACATCGTTTGCGAGCACGTGTTCCCGAACTTTTTGCGAGCCGTTCGCTTTGGACATTATTTTTGTCCCTCAGCCGAACGGCCGTGGACAAGGCCATTTGGGGGGCCTTGGAATTTGCGAACACACGGTTCCGAACCGTTGACGCACCGTCTGTGTGAACGTCCGAACAAAACATGCTCTTGCTCACCCTTCCGAACACATTGCAAGGCACGCCTGGGGCCGACCCCTGCTCAGGGGCTTCCGAAAAGGCGTTCTCGTACGGCGGGGGGGCTCGTCAAAGGGCGGGGCGCCCGCTCGCGGAACCGAACCACTCGCCCTGCGCTGGTGCCCTGCTTGCGCGCGCCGACGAGGCCCCGTGGAGGGCCGCCCCTGGATGCGGGCGCCAGGGATACACACCACCAGCCTCATCCCCCCTCCCCTTTTCCGTCCTTTGTCTCTTCTCCTGCTCCCTGGGGGGAGTAGGGGGTGAGAAAAGGCGGTGGTGGCTCGTATGCTTGGGCCCCGCGGTGCCCTACCCCCCCCCCGTTGCTGCCCCAGGGTGCCGCCCACGTGCAGCCCAGCAGTGGCCCCGCAGCTGCCCCGAAGGCGCCAACGGGCCCACGACGCGGCGGCGCCCCACCATCGGGAAGAAGAAACACACACACACACACACTCGCACTCACACTCGCACTCACACACACACACACACACCTATATATATGCATACATACATACATACATACCTACCTACATGCATACATACACACATACATATATGCGTATGAATGTATTAGATATGGGTGTGTATGTGTATACACATGTGACTATATACGTGCATACATACATACAGATAAACATACATACATACATACATGCATGCATACATGCATACATACACACATGCATGTATACATGCATGCATACATACATACATTACATTACATTGCACTACATTGCATCGCATTACATTACAATACCGTACAAAACATTACATGACATTACATTACATTGCATTACATTACAATACATTACATTACATTACACTACACTACATTACATTACATTACATTACATTACATGACATTACATTACATTAAATTACACTACGTTACATCACATTACCTACATACATACATTCACACATACATACATACATACACGCATCCATACATACACACATACGTGCACACATACATACATACATACATACATACATGCATGCATGCATGCATGCATGCATGCATGCATGCATACACACATACAAACATACAAACATACATAGGCACATACGTACACACGTACACACGTACATACGTGCATACGTACATACGTGCAAACATACATACATACATACATACATACATACATACATACATACATACATACATACACATACACATACACATACACAAACACATACACGTACACATACACATACACATACACATACACATACACACGTTTTCGGAAACCCGCGCGGATTTTTGGAGTCGACGCGAGACCCCCCTCGCTGGCGCGCGGAACGCGCACGGGGCGGCGCCAAAGCGGCGCCGGAGGCTCCGCCAACGGGGCCCGCCGCCGACACCACGAACCCGCGCGGCCGTCCACAAATTTGTATTTGGGATCAGCTGTTACTTTGTCGACGGATTAATCCCCCCTGGGACCCTGGTGTTTGTCGACTGCTGAAACGTGTTCCTGGCATGGGCGCCTGGTTGAATATATTCGGGGTTTGGGCCAAGCGCCGTCGTTCCGGTACTGATGCATGTGTCAAAGTCCTCCATTGAGAGCGATTTTCCCTACAATTATGTGGTGTTGGGTCCTCGCTTTGGAAAGACAGCGCCCCGCGTGACCTTCCGCCTCGCCCCCCTTGTTCCTTTCATCCTTGCCCTCCGCATATCCCAATTTCGGCACACCCATCACACGCTTCGTGGCCACATAAAGAGCTCCACCGATCGCCCCAGCGGCAGGGTCCGCATGGCGCATCCGGAACCGATTCGGCAAACGCATCACACGCTTCGAGGCCCCATAAAAAACTCCACCGAAGGCCCAGGCGGCAAACCCCGCATGGCGCACCCGCGCCCGATTCCGCACACGCGTCACACGATTTGTGGTCCCATTTGGGAGTTCCCCCGAAGGCCCCGGCAGCAGGGTCCGTACGGCAAACACATCCGATTCGGCGCACCCATCACACCTTCCGCGGCCCCACACACAGCTCCACCGAAGGCTCCAACGGCAGGGCCCGCGTGGCACACCCGGACCCGAACCGGCGCCCCATTCACACGCTTCGATGCCCCATGGGTGATTCCGCTGCGAGCCCCAGTGGCCAGGTCCGCATGGCGCACCCGCGCCAGATTCGGCGAACCTCACACGTTTTGTGGTCAAGTACGGAGCTCCACCGAAAGCCCCGGCCGCAAGGCCCACACGGCGAACCGTACAGGTTTCGGCGCACCCATCACGCGCTTCGCGGCCCCATTGGAAACTCCACCGAAGGCTCCAACGCGAGGACCCGCATGGCGTTCCCGGGCCCGATTCGGCGCGCCCCTCGCACGGCTCGTGGCCCCAAATGAACCCCACCGAAGGCCCCAGCGGCAGGGTCCGCATGGCGCACCCGCAAATGTTTCGGCGCACCCTTCACACCTTCCGTGGCCCCATAAGGGGGCTCCGCCGAAGGCCCCAGCGGCAAAGTCCGCATGGCGTACCAGCACCCGATCTGGTACACCCCACACACACACGGTTCGTGTCTCCGTAGCGAACTCCACTGATGGCCCCAGCGACAAAGCTCGATTGGTACACCCCGCGAACGCCCCGCGACGCGCGCCAGTCGCCCCGGAGCGACGCGCGCGGGGTGTCCGCGGCACGGGGTCAGAAACATCGCGTGGCTGACTATGGGCGAGGCGCCAAGCAGAGCGCGCGGGTGTCAGGCAGCACTCGGAGATAGAAGGCAGGGGAGTTCCCGCGACGTGCATTGCGTGCCCCGACAAGATTCCAACGACGAGCGCGGGTCGCCCGCGGCGCGAGGCCATACGGTTGGGCAGCCGAGAGAAGGCGACTCGGGCGGTCCATTTTTCAGGTCAGGCATCGCGGAGAAATCCAACGAAACCCAGCTCTTTGGCGAGGCCGTCGCCGAACTGAACAAGCCCTCAGCTCGCCCATGTGCAAGTTCTCCCCACCCACGCCCCAATCCTCTCACCAGGCCCCTTCATTCCAATTTCACCTGCCTCGCGATGTTTGCAGTTGCACACGCTTGGGTCCCTCTTCTGGGCGTAGGTGGTCTAGGGCGGTTCCTCTTCCAACCCATATTTTCCTCTTTGGGGGATGGGTTTGCCCCTATCAATCCCCCTACCCCCTCCCCTGGACCTGGACCTGGACGGGAGGGGGCGAGGCGCTGGAGCGCCCAAGATGGCCCATGACGGCTCCAAGAGGGCCCCTGAGTCCAAATGAGCTCCAAGATGGCTCAAGATAACGCACAATGGCACAAGATGGCTGCCAAAATGCCCCCAAGAGGCCCCAATCACATTCCAAGGCGGTTCCAAGAGGCCTCCGAAACCCCCACAGAGGCCCCCAAGAAGCCAACATCCTTGAAATACCTAGAGAATTAATGATTTATGTTTTCTCGCCTTTTCGCTTCCGATGGCCATCCGAGGCATCAACAATGGCTACAAAATGGCGCAAGAGAGCCTAAGGAGATTTCCGAGAGAGCCCGAACACGGTCCCCAGAGCGCCCACGACCGCACCAAAAGCGATCCAAGAGGGGTCCAGGAGGCGATGCTGGGTGTTCCCGAGGGGGGAAGCTAATTGGAGCACCCCTCTTTTTGACCGATGTCCTCCAAGATGGCCCCAATAGCGCCCCTCAAGCTCTCAAGGGCGCCCCCAGAGGGCCCCAGGAAGCACCCAGACGGCCGCAAGAGGCCTCCAAGAGGCTCCGAAGAGACCCCATACAAGGCCTCAAGAGGGCCCCCGAGGTACCCAACTTTCCCTTCTTCTCCTCCTTCTAGTTTTCCTCGTCCTCGTCCTATTCCGCCTCCTCCTCCCCTTCCTCCTCCTCCTCCTTTTCCTCCTCCTCCTCCTCTTCCTCCTCCTCCTCCTCCTCCTCCTCCTCCTCTTCCTCCTCCTCCCCATCCTCCTCTGACGACGACGATTCCTCCTCCATGTTGCCCCTCTCGGGGTATATGACGGCTTCCCCCGCCCGTGGTTCTTCTGCACGGCGCCCCATTTTCCTGATCACCTTAACTCCCCTGGGCATCGTTACTGGATGGGCTGGTGGGGATACTTTTTTGTTCGCGAGCGCGCAGGGGTGCCAGGCGCCGTCAAGAATCGCGGCGGACAAGCAACTACCTAAATGTCGCAGCGATGGGGGGCGACAGCGAGCGGAACACGAGGCAAACACGAGGCGAACAAGCGGGGAAGAAGTGAAGAAAAAGCACACAGGAGCGAGCTACGCTGCGGCTCAGGAGACGCGGTGGACCAGGAAGAACCACTAGTCGAGGTGCAGCACCAAAATGGCGAAATTCATGGTGTCCACGTGCTCGATGACGGCCGTGACGCAACCGATGATGAGGACGACGAACACCGACATGCAGGCGCTCAACCGAGCAGGGTCCGGATCGCCAGACGCCGACAAGTGTCAGAGCGAGGGGCGTGGAAGCGACGGCGGCGCCACCACGGGCGGGGGGCTGGATGGGATACGCAAAGCGTCAACACTTGTATTCGCGGCGCTTCAGGGCATTACGGGGGGGGTGGCGTAACGTACCCCCCCTCCCCCCTCCCCGCCGTGTGGTCCCAGCACCGCCGCAGCGTCCACGCGCACAACGAAGACGACGACGACGACGACGACGACGACGACGACGTCGAGCGTCGAGCGTCGAGGACGAGGTAGAGAACGAGGACGACGAGGACGAGGATGACGACGACGAGGACGACGACGACGACGACGACGACGACGACGACGGCAACCACGACGAGCGACGCCTGGAGGTCTCGCAAAGTTCCCCAGCAGAGGTCTCTGGAGCCCTCCGAAGGCCTCCTGCAGAGGCTTCTGCAAGAGGCCTCCAGAAACCCTCGGAAAGACCTGCGAAGACTTCTGAAGGCCCTCGGAGGCCTTTAAATGCGTTCGATGATGACGACGACGAGCGACGGCGAGCGACGACGACGAGAACGAGGACAAGAAGGGCGACTACGACGACGACGAGCGACAAGGACGACGATGACGACGAGAACGACGACGACGACGACGACGACACCGACGACGACGGCGATGACGGCGACGAACGACGACGACGACGTTGACGACGACAACGACGGCGACGACGACGACAAGTGACCACGACGACGACGAGGACGAGGACCAGGACCCCGACGACGACGGCGACGATGACGAACGACGAGCGACGCCCAGAGGCCTCCAGCAGTCTCTGGAGGTGTCCTGAGCCCTCCGGGACAGAAACCTCCAGGGGTCCGGCCTCCGGAGGCCCTCGAAGGCCTTCGACGGCGTTCGATGACGACGGGCGACGGCGAGCGACGACGACGACCGACGACGACCGACGACGAGGGTAAAGAGGGTAAAGAAGATATCTGGTGAGCAGACGATTGCGAAGGCGTTACTGCCTCCACTTCGTGCATGTGCGGTATGTTTTTCACCTCTTTCCTCCTTCCTCTTGCTCCTTCTCCTCCTCTTGCTCCTTCTGCTACGAGCATCACCAGTCCCTGAGAGCTCCGATTGACGAGATAGGTCTTTAGAACCTCCCCAAATAATAAAAATGACCCATATTGACAGTCTGGGGTCCCACAAATAATGTGGAAAATAAGTATTTCTCCACGGCACCCGCCGCGACGACGACGACGACGATAACGACGACGACGACAATGACGACGACGACGACGAGAAAGACGACGACGACGACGACGACGACGACGACGACGACGACGACGACGACGACGACGACGACGACGACGACGACGACGACGACGACGACGACGACTACGATTACGACGACGATGCGCCTACGGAGAAGCAGGAGGATGACGAGGAGGAGAAGGAGCAGAAAGAGGAGGAGGAGGAGCAGGAGGAGGAGGAGGAGGAGGAGGAGGAGGAGGAGGGGAAGGAAGAGGAGAAGGTGGAAAGGAGGAGGAAGAAAAAGAGAAGCAGTAGGAGGAGCGGTGGAGTTTTTTCCCCGTCGAGAAGAGGAGCGTGGGGGGAGGGGATCCCAAAAGTAACGTCCTTCTGAGGTTACATATCCGCGACTCACGAGTGGCGAGGGAAGCGAGACCGCAGCAGTTGTGCGATAGCCTGCGGGCACCACGCGCATGCACAACAAGATGCTGGACCCTGTCGGGACCACAGTGGCCCGAAAGAGGTGCGACATGCGAGTGCCACAGTAGCCTGCGAGAACCACAGTACCCTGCGAGCGTGGGGCATGCCTGCGTACACCAACGTTATGGGGGGGAGGGGGCCAGGGGGACATAACGCGCGTTGTGGCCCAGAGGGTTAAAACAACAAGCTCATTCAAAGTCCACCTTCTCTGTGCGCCTCCTCTCCTTCCTCCTCCTCCTCCTTCTCCCCCTCCCCCTCCTCCTCCTCCTCCTCCTCCTCCTCCTCCTCCTCCTCCCCTCCTCCCTCCTCCTCCTCCTCCTCCTCCTCCTCCTCCTCCTCCTCCTCCTCCTCCTCCTCCTCCTCCTCCTCATCCTCCTCCCCTCCCTCCCCCTCCCCCTCCGCCTCCTCCTCCTCCTCCTCCTCCTCCTCCTCCTCCTCATCCCTCCTCCCCCACCTCTCTCCTCCTCCCCTCCTCGCCCACTCCTCCTCCTCCTCGCCTCATCCCCCTCCTCCTTCCTCCTCCTGTCTCCTCCTCCTCCTCCATCCCTCCTCCATGCGGTCCTTCGTCCCCCCCTGCGGCCCTCGAGAGGCCTCTCTCCAACTCAGTCTCCCCTACCTTGAGACGCCCCCCTTGCGCCCACTCCTCCTTACCCACCACTCCTCCCCCTCCTCCTGCGTTTCTTCATCCCCCTGCGGCCCTCAAGCTTCGACGCCCGAAATGAATGCGGAAAAATTGGGTACGATGCCCAAGAACACATGTTGTCCAAAACCGACAGCGGCCGCTGTTGGGCAGGCGACTGCTGTCTCAAATGGCCCATCTTTCTGTCTCCGCGGCGACGCCAACAGCGAATCCTGCTCAAATGGACAGGAACTGCTGTTCCGTACCCATATCGGTCGTACGGATGAAGTGGCCCCGCTCAACCAACCTCCACCTCTACCTCCTCCACCTTGCAACGCCCGTCTAGCTTTGGAGACTGGTGCCTGTGCCCGCCGATGTCGCCCACGTCGCCCTCGTCGTCGCCGCCGCCGCCGTCGTCGCCCTCGTCGTTCTATCGACAGCCGTCGTCGCCCTCGTCGCCCTCGTCGTCGAGCCCCGCCGCTACACTCGGCGCCGTCGTCGCCTCCGTCGCCGTCGCCATCGCCGTCGCCGTCGCCATCGCCGTCGCCGCCGCCGCCGCAGCCGTTGTCGTCACCGCCGCCGCCGCCGCTGCCGCCGCCGCTGCCGCCGCCGCCAACGCCGCCGTCGCCACCGCCTCCGCAGCTGCCGCCGCCGTCGTCAGCGGCACCCAGGCGGAGGGCGGCGCGCCCGGCGTCCTCGCCGCGGCGGCCAGGCTGCCGGGGCCCGTGCCGCGCGCGGAGGCAGGCGCGGAGGAGCTGCTGGAGCCGCGCCGGGCAGACAGCGGCCAGGCGCGCGGGGAGCTGGCCGTGCGCCTGCGGGGCCGGTGCCGCAGGCCGCTGGTCCCCAGGCAGCCACTACGTCTCTGGAAGGTCGAGGCGGGGGGGTGCGCCGTGTTCGGGCCCTGGGGTACGATGCAGGGGCCCTGGGCGTCAGCAAGAACGGCTCGGGATTTGGACTTTCCGGCGACCCCCTGCTGAAACGTCCGGAGGGCAGCGGATCACCATCACCATCACCATCACCATCACCATCACCACGATGGTGATGGTGATGATGACTGAGATCATCATCATCATCATCATCATCATCATCATCATCATCATCATCACCACCATCATCATCATCATCATCATCATCATCACCATCATCATCATCATCACCATCATCATCATCACCATCATCACCATCATCAACATCGTCATCGTCACCATCATCATCACCATTATCATCATCAGCATCATCATCATAAACATCACCAGCATCATCACCATCACCATCACCATCATCATCGCCGACACCAAAATCATCACCATCATCACCATCATCATAACAATCATCAGCAACAATATCATCATCGTCATCATCACCATTATCAGCATCGCGTCATTACCATCAACCACATCATCATGATAATCATCAACATCAGCATCAACGTCAGCAACAACATCACCACCATCATCGTCATCATCGCCATCATCATCAGCATCACCGTAATAATCGTCATCATCATCATAATCATCATGGTCGTCACCTCCATCATCATCATCATCATCATCAGCAGCAGCATCATGATCATCGTCATCATCACCATCATCATTCTCAGCATCACTATCATCGTCAGCATCACCATCATCATCAACGACATCATCATCAGCATCAGCATCATCATCACCATCATCATCATCAACAATATCATCATCTTTGAGTCCCGTCCACAACCATCATCATCAGCATCAGCATCACCAACGACATCATCATCATCATCATCATCATCATCATCATCATCATCATCATCATCATCGGCATCCCCTTTATGAGCATCATCATAACTCGTCATCATCACCCATCATCATCAGCAGCATCATCATCGCCTCAATCATCCATCACCCATCATCACCACCACCATCATCAACATCAGCATCACCACAAACACCACAATCAGCATCATCAGCATCATCATCGTCATCAGCATCATTATCATCACCATCATCATCATCATCAACAACATCAGCATCAGCATCATCACCATCATCAACATCAGCATCATCATCATCAACTCCAACGACATCGCCATCATCATCATCGCCACCATCACAATCATCATCACAACCATCATCAGCATCATCAGTATCATCCTTCTCATCATCACCATCATGATCATCGCCATCATCATCATCGACCAGCTTAGCATCATCCTGATATTCATTATCATCATCAGCCACATCATCATCATCAGCATCATCATCATCGTCAGCATCACCACAATCATTATCAACATCAACCACATCACCATCATGAGCATCAACCTCAGCATCATCATCGTCATCATTATTATCGTCTCCTCCACCACCATCATCATAATCATCGGCACCATCATCATTCAGCATGATCACCATCATCATCAGCAGCACCATCAGCAGCATCATGAGCAGAATAATCAGCATCATCATCATCGCCATCAGCATCGCTATCATCACCATCATCACCATAAGCATCACGATCGGCATCATCATCAACATCAGCATCAACGTCATCACCATCATCAACTCCAACGACAACGTCATCATCATCATCGTCACCATCACCATCATCCTCACAACCATCATCAGCGTCATCAATATCATCATCGCCATCATCACCACCATCAGCATCGCAATCATCATCGACCACATTAGCATCATCCTGATAATCAGTATCATCCACATCATCATCAACTCCAACGACATCATCATCATCACCATCATCATCATCACCAACATCATCATCATCATCGTCACCATCACCACAATCACCATCATCATTCACCACATCACCATCATCAGCATCAGCATCAGCATCATCATCGTCATCATCATCATCGCCTCCTCCACCACCATCACCATAATCATCAGCACCATCTCGTCATCATCATCATCAGCATGATCATCATTCATCATCATCACCATCATCATCAGCAGCATCATGAGCAGAATAAACAGCATCATCATCATCCGCATCATCATCATCACCACCATCACCATCATCATCATCAGCATCATCATCACCATCATCACCGTCAGTATCATCATCCTCATCATCAGCAGCATCATCGTCATCATCACCATCAAAATCAACAACATCACCATCAACACCATCATCAACATCAGCAACATCACCACCACCGTCATCACCATGATCAGCAGCAGTCTCATCTTCATCATCATCGTCATCATGAGCATCATCATCACCCATCATCATCACCATCATCAGCAACATCATCAGCATCATCATTCGCAGCATCGTCATTACCACCATCATCATCAGAAGCAACATCATCATCATCATCATCGGATGCATCCTCATCACCATCATCATCCGTCATCATCAGCAGCATCATCACCGTCATCCATCATCACCACCACCACCATCATCAACATCATCATCACCACAACCACCATCATCACCATCAACATCACCACCATCATCAGTATCATCATCAACCTCATCATCCTCATCATCATCACCACCACTATCATCATCATCATCATCATCCACATCATCATCATCATTAACACCATCATCATCATCAACAACATCATCGTCACCGTCCTCGTCATCAGCATCATCAACAGCAACAACAAAACGAACAACAACATCAACAAGCACTGTAAGACTTGTCGCTCTTATCTGCTCACGTGCCAATTAATACGTATATTCCAAACCCTCGGTAACCGCCCTCGTCGTCTTCGATCGTACAGTCGGACTTGATTGGAGGACACGCGAGAGGACACAAGACCCTTCCGAAGGCCACATCGCCATAGGAGTGTAAGAAGGCACGTGTCGCGAGGCACAGGACACAAAGGTACCCTTGAGCTGGCAGGGTCGACCTGCTAATCCGGGCTGACTGTACCCCATTGGCAGTATATCTTCCTTACCTGCCACGTGCATCTAGTGCAGACCCCAAAACAGGAGAAGAGAGGACGGACGGAATGGGGAGGGAGAAGAATGGAGCACGAGAGAACTTAGCAGGAGGGGGACAAGGAGCAGAAAACAAGTGGTAGAACCAGACGGGCAGATCGGGTGGGCAGACCCATAGCGGGCAGGTCGGGAAGGCGGGCCCAGGCGACCTGGTCGAGCAGGCGGTTTGCTGAAGCGTGGGTCCTGCATGAATTTCGAAGAAGTCTCGAGCGATAGCGCGACTCCCAAGTAAATCTTGGAAAAGGTCAAAGCGCGAGCGTGATTCCTGAGCGCCGATGGCGCATCGTCTGAATAAATTGAGGGGGAGTCCCAAGCGAGAGCGCGATTTGTTCATAGATAACTGTGAGGAAATCCCGCGCGAGTGTGTGCGATTTGGGAATACATTTCGAGGAAGTATCAGGCGGAAGCCGCTGTTGTAAACCGGGGGCCAACAACACAATTTGAGCAGAAGACCAGCCTGATAAAAAAACAGGGTGCGAGCCCCAGGAGGGGCACTTCAATTGAAAAAAAAACATCTGTTACAGGAGGGGATATCACCGATAATTCATCTTCAGAAATGAGTGTAACTACAACAACAGCAACAGCAACAGCAACAGCAGCAGCAACAACAACATTAGCAACACCATCAACCGAGGGTAAAACGCGGCGACCGCAAAGGTGGCGACTCGTTGTTGTCGTGCCGACGCGCACGTTGATGTCTGACATCACGTACGACAGAATTCACGCAGCGATGACGTCGGCGTTCCGGCGGGCCGTGGTCGGACCACTGGGGACTGTCCACTTTGATAGAAAAAGGGTAAACGCCATAAACATAAACTTTTTGCGCTCCGCGCAGATTTCTTGGATGCGCGCTGGACCCCCCCCCCCCCTGGCGCGCGGAGCGCGCCAGGGGCGGCGCCGGAGGCGCCGCCGGGCGGGGCCCGGCGCCGATCCAAGAAATCCGCGTGGGGCGCCCAAAGTTTATGCAGTCGGGGTTGATTGGAGAGGACACGCGAGAGGACACAAGACCCTTGCGAGGGCCAAAATGCCGCGGGAATGCTGAAGGCATGGGCCTCGAGGCGCAGGACACCAGGGTATCCTTGACTTGGCAGGGTCGACCTGCCAATCCGTCTCGGCTGCGTGTTCACAGCGCTTGCTTGAAGGGGCCCTGGGACACACAAATAAATACACACAAATAAAAATATGCCCCATATTTTCCCATATCTTCTGGGTTTTTGTCTTCCCGCCCAATTCCCAATTGTTTTCCATATTTTCTGGGGAATCGACGATTAATTGTGTCTGTGTGTTTTTTCCGCTCCTGATTGCTCTGCTCCGATGGCCGCCCTGGGCGTCCACGTCAGCGCGCCGAGGACCCGACCGCCAGGTCCGCGGGCCCGAGCGACGGGCCCCCGCAGTGCCTGCGGGCCTGCGGCGGCCTGCGGCGCGCCCTCTGGCTCTGAGGGGGCCCAGGGACGCACACAAACACAGACACACACACACGCACACGCACACGCACACGCACACGCACACACACACACACACAAACACACACACACACACACGCACACACACGCACACACACATACATATATATATATATATATATATATATATATATATATATATATATATATATATATATATAATAATGAGTAAATAAATAATAAATAAATAAGTAAATAAATAAATAAATACATACGCACAAATCAATGACAGGATTCCCCGCACTTTTCTATAATTCTTTGGATTTTCGTCGTCCCCCCCCCCGTCCCACAGTTTCCTATATTTCCCATGGAATCGACACTTCATTGTGTCTGTGTGTATTTTCCCCTCCTGAGATTTGACCCGGGCGGGCCCCTCCGCACGGCAGCCGGGGCGGCTGCGCTCCACGAAGGGTGGCGTCGGGCGCTCCGAGGAAGCGGCCTGGCAGGTACCCTCGGGCTCTCCGGGGAACCCGGAGATCCGGCGTACAGTCAACCTGTATAGTAAGGATGCGCGATAAGGATGCAAGGGCCCTGGGAACTCATTTCGAAGTTTTCCGAGCCGGGCGCGGTCAACAAAAGTGGCCAAGGATGGACCGAGGAGGCAAGGATGCAAGGGTACCCTTGGGAAGGTTGCCCATCCTTGCTGTGCGGGTTGACTTTAGCGAAAATTGTCTTGCGTCGGCGGCTAGGCAGGGGACGCTTGCGCCGGCGATGGATCAGGCCTAAACGGGGATGCCGCCAGAGCGAGTTGCGCCACCATGCAGGCGGAGGAGCGCGAGGGGGGGGGAGCGCGGCCGAAAGGCGGACGGAGCGAGCGGCTCAGGGGGGACGGGTCGCTCCCCGAGCGGCGGCGCGTGCAGCCCCGCGGGCGGCTGCTGCGTCGGCGGGCCAGCGGCAGAAGGACGTAGCGAAAACATAGATCCTGGCGACGGACCCAGCCAGATGCATGCGCGGGTAACGCAAGTGTGAGAGGCGTCTTCGGTGGAGCTCCCTGAAGCGTGCGAGGGGTGTACCGACATGTGTCGTGCGGACGCATGCTGACCCTGCCACTGGGGCCTACGGGGCCACGGAGCGTATGAGGGTTGTGCCGAAATGGGTCGTGCGCACGCATGCGGACCCTGCCACTGGGGCCTTCGGTAGGGCTTCCTACGGGGCCACGAAACGTGTGAGAGGTCCCAGTAGCCTGAATAGGCTACTTTTCTAAGTTACTAGTTTACTTAATATAAAAGATATTAAGATTAATCTAACCAAATAGTGTTAAGTTCATGGTACTTAAGTTGGTTTCATCTTAATGTTGTTTATTTAATGTTACTTGTCATTATTAGTTCGTATACGCGCTGCTCTAGGACTGACAGGATCGCACGTACCCATTGTTGGTTCCCCAGGGGAAACAGCGGCAACGTACCCACATGTGGTATCATAGGGCAGTCAAAAGCAAACGTACCGACATTCGGTCCCTCAAGACTGAGAGCGGCAAACGTACCCACATGTCCTTCAGGACGGACAGAAGCAAACGTACCCACGTTTGGTATCTCAGGACTGTCCTGATATTCCAAGGAGGGGGTTGGACGCATCCCGAAGGAGTCACGATGAGGAGGAGGGAGGAGGAGGAGGAGGAGGAGGAGGAGGAGGAGGAGGAGGAGGAGGAGGAGGAGGAGGAGCAGGAGGAGGAGGAGGAGGAGGGAGGAGGAGGAGGAGGAGGAGGAGGAGGAGGAGGAGGGAGGAGGAACCATGGGAGCCATGCTGAGCGGCCGCAAGTGACTCGCGAACGGCCCTCGATTGTGCTGTGGATGTGATTGTTTTGTTGCTGGTGTTGGGTGTTTGATTTGTGTAGCTGCGTTTGGGGTTCGCTTGTTTCTTCTCCCCCCTCCCCTCGAGGAGAGGGGGGATGGTGACGATGATGATTGTGATATTTTTTTCACTGGCTGGACCTCTTCAGCCAGCCTCTCCCGCACAAGAAATGGCATGCACGATCTATTGCCGCAACGGTGGCATACATATTCGAAGCAACACGCCAAGCAAACGTTTTGACAAGACAACGTTCTGCGCAGCTTTCTTCCAACGGCCAGACATCGATCCTTTCCACACCTTGGCCGTTGTGCCTATGAGCGACTCACTTGCATAGCAATGTACTGTCCGAGGGTTCACGATCTGGGCCATTAAAGGGACATGCATCATCTTGTGGGTCTTCGGAGTGATCTCCCAACACAACTGGCCAGCCCGACGAGAGAATTCCCTGCACCACATGAAAGCCTCGCCGAAATCAACGCAGACAGAACGCAGCCGACCGACATCGTGATCACTCACGAAAACAGGGGCTGCGTATATGATTGAGTAGAACTCGTGCAGTAATCTCGCCGCCGAGACTATATGTTTGTCGAAGTCGGAGCCGTGCCCAAGGTACTGCGCAGCCAGCTGCGCAAAGAAACCTGAAGCCTTTCGTGTGTTCGCTGCTTTGATTGCGGGGCCATGTAAGACAGCCCAGCCGTTGTTGACCAAGTTGCCCTGGGCAAGACGAGGGAGTCGGCGGCTCCCTGGCCGCCGCCGATACCATTCTGACAGCTGGTCGTTTATCACGTCCAAGCGCTGTGCGATGTTGTTGCCGAGATGGGGTTCGCCTGTCAATCGCACGAGAACGGATCCGAAGACTACTGACGCAACCCCATTACAATCCATCATATGCATGAGATCTGGGTAGAAGAGAAACCGAGACATGGATCCGCATTTCGCCAAAGGGTGCAATGGCACTCTGAGCCTTGCTTTAAAACTTTCAAAGGGCATGGCCTCTGTCGGTCGCCATTTTGCACTGCGTTGCAGATCCGTGTAAGGACGATTGCTACGATTTGCCAAACACTCTGGGCAAACTTCATCAGCAGAAGAAAAATGAACCAAACCCCAATCGTTGCATCTGCACTCTTCGTCTGCTTTTGCAAACATTAGAACAAACTTCCACAATGATCCATCTGCGTCTCGCAACTCGAATCCGCCAGACGCCAAAGTTTCGAGATCAGCAATTATGACATCCCATGCTTTGAGGTCGTCCTCGCCCTTCTTTCCCTTGATAGCAGACGCACACAACAAATTCGTGAGCTTTTCTGTCCCCACGCCTAAAACACCAGAGAAACTTAAACATCGAGCAGACAGCTTTTTCGTGACAGGACCAGCGTCTTCGTGCACTGCCAGCGGGACGGTTGTGAACAAGTCAGGTGCTGCTTTGCCTCGCAGGTGCGCGTGGTCTTGGGACCATGCCACCCGAACTGGGGATCGGTACCAGCCCTCCCAGAAAGCTTTAACTTTCGATGCATCGGCACCCAGCCTCAGGCGAAACTCCCGAGGGCTGAACCGAAGCAACAACTTGATCCAGGAAGACGGCAATATGACGTGAGTCCATGTGTTCCCTGCTACTGGTGTGACTACATCCATCAGAGGGAGTTCGCCCAGCAACGACATCAAGTTACCATGGCAGTGTTGCGGCGAGACACCGAGATGGCTCAATCGATTGACAAGAGGATCAACAATGCCATCATGTGCAGCATTGCCCATGTGTAACTGCACTTGTGTGGCAGATAGTTTGCCATCGCTCCACTCCAACAAATGGCCCATGGCAAGCCTTGAGGGCGAAGCCACTCGCTGCGGCTCCTCCTCGCGAGCTTGCCGAGCGCGTTGTCGCCAACCACCTCGCAGGCGCCTTGGCTCCTGGACATACAATGGCTCAAACAAAATCGAAGCTGACATCGGCAGACAGAGCACAAGTAAACGGATGAGCATATGAACAAGTGTATACTGTATACGCACAGATACATAGTTTCGTGGAGCCGAAAGTGCTACACAAGAGGGGGGGCAGGGAGGATGAGGAGGAGAATGAGGATGAGCTTGGACTCTGACCGAGGGTGTCATGCAACAATAAACTCAAACACTGGATGGCGTGGGCCGAGATCCCCAGCGGCCACGCCACGGAGAAGGCGTGCCCGCCCCCCCACCCTATCTTCCCGCAAAAACGGAACAGGTGCAGTGAGGGTCGGAATCACGGCCGGCCAGGCTGGCACTCGTCACCCAGCCCCAATCGCACATTGGAGGGCCCCTGCAGGGGGAATCGCCCTCGGGCCCCAGGGAAACTCCGAAGACCCACCGAACTGATGAAAGAAACATTGTATTGGCTCAATCTTGAGCCCCATTGGCAGCGGAGGCGGGGGGTGGCTCAAAAATGCATTTTTCACCCCCCGCCCCCCCCTAAGCATCCTTGGGGGGGGGGGGGTCATACAGGCAATTTGTGGGGCAACTTGTGACGGATCTCACCCCCCGAACCCTTGGACACGGAGCTGGCCATGATAAACCGCAAACAAGTTAGCTTGCTCTTGTTTTTTTGTTCGGTTTTGTTGTTTTCAAGTGTGCTTGAAAAACAACCGAGGACAATGGGGGGGACGATGAGGTGGAGGGAGGAGAGAGGAGGCATTCGTTCAATGAAAGCGGCTCCCGCGTTCTCCGCACGCTGCACGTGGCGTCTACCCAAGAAGGTCGGAGAGTAAGGCGGAGGAGGAGGTGGAGCAGCAGGAGGAGCAGGAGGGGGAGGAGGAGAGGAGGAGGAACAGAAGGAGGAGGAGGAGGAGGAGGAGGAGGAGGAGGAGGAGCAGCAGCAGCAGCAAGGAGGAATGATGAGAAGGGGGAGGAGAGGAGGAGGGAGGACGAGGGAGGAGGAGGGAGGAGGAGGGGAGCTGGCAAGGGCTGGCAGACCTGAGACATATCACAGTTCAGATTTTTTCAGATTTTTTTCAGATATCTGAAAAAAATCTGAATGTTCTTATTGATTTCTTTATAGAGGTTTTCAGATATCTGAAAAATATCTTAAACATATCTGAATTGCGTCTCTCATCGCTTTGCCCATGCCTGCTGAGTCAGCGGACTAAGCTCTAGACCAGTGCCGCTCGGCCAGCTCACTGGGTGGAGGCCCATGCTCGGCAGCGAACCCTCGACGAGAAGGCAACCCCGCTCAGTCCACTTTGAACCAGGGGCGCAGGGCGGTTGCCCTCTTGTTCCCCTGCTTGACCACATCCTGAATTGCACTCACCTGCTCGGCCCCCAGCTTGATATCGTCGTCGTCGAGGGTCCCTGTGTTCATGTACTTCTGCTCCAAGCTGACCAGCTTCTTGTCGATAAGATCGCCCTGGGAGGAGATCGACTCGAGATCCTTCTCGAATTTGCACCCTTGCGTGTTTGGATGATCCTTGGATTTCTGTACGAGTGCTGCGAAATCGCGGAGAGACCGATCCCAAACGTTGTGAGATCTCCGAATCGCTTGAATGGCCACTTTCACCTTTGGATCGTCGGGCGGATGGGTCCCGCTCCCTGCCACGCTGGCTCCAGAGAGCACGGACACTGGCGCGGTAGTGGGCGGATTTCCAGAGCCCTCTTTGAGAACCGGGTTGGCCTTGATGGACGCGTGCGTGAACTCCTTCAGGAACGCCTCGCTGCCGTCGCTGGTCACTGCCTCATGCGTAGCATTCTCCCTCTCATCGATCGTCTTGTTCTTCTTGTGCTCGACCTCCCTCTGCTGCTTGACCTGCTGGTTGAAGGGGAACTCGATCTTGGAGTCTGCAGGCAGCTTGGGGTTCTTGCGGCTCAAGACAGTACCAGCTTGCACCATCTCCAGGAGACACTCGCGCCCCTCCCGCTCAGCGGCCTTCGCCCAGGGCACCCACTCGACAAAGTCGTCGTGCTCCTTCTCCTCCACGACCTTCCTCTTGCGAACGAGATAATCGCTTGGTAGATTTGCGCCCATTTCAATCAAGTCGGTGACGAACGTATCGATGGCCGCCTGGTCCTTGGATTTCACAAGCTTCTTGTAGTAATCCTTGTACTCGTCGCCGCACAGCTTGAGCCTGTAGTTGAACTTGTTGTACTTCGCCTTGTCGCTCGAAAGGGGGCCGCTTCCGCCCAACGAACTAGCCGAGCTAGCCCCCGAGCCTGGGCCACCCCCAGGCTCAGTTTTCACAACCACCGAGCCTGGTGCAGCTGACGGCTCGACCTTGAGCTTGAGGAAACATGGCAATGTGGGTTGGGCGTGCTTGGCCATGCTGCATGCAAGTGGTCACTCGATCAGAGCAAAACTGGCTACGTAAATCGACGGTTTGCGATTGCCATTCTCATTCTCATAATGGCGACGACGACGAATTTGATAACGCGAGGGGGGGGGAGGGCGGAGGGAGGGACGGAGGGAGGAGGGGATGGGGATCGGGATGGACGGAACGAAGGTGAGAGGGAGGGTGGGAGGGATGGAGGAAGGATGGAAACCTAATCAGGTCCACCATCTAAGGACCCACTTGTACCCATCTCAAGGTTTAGAAATTCATCCATGCGCCCATCAATCAATCAATCAATGGAAAGGTCCACGAGTCTACGAATGGATCAATCGGTCGGTGAATGGACGCTGACGGACACGACGACGACGATGACGCGAGGGAGGGAGGGAGGGAGGAAGGGAGGATGATGAGGGGAGGGGAGGGGAGGGAAGGGGAGGAAGGATGAATGGTACGGATGGGGAGGAGGAGGGGAGGGAGAGGAGGGGGAGTGTTTGCATGTCAAATGCGTGTGTAAATATACCGAGCACGAAGGGGAGCGGCGAGAGGGAGAGGGAGGGGGGGGGGCATAATGAGGAGGAGCAGGAGGAGGAGGAAGGGGAGAAGGGATTGAGGAGGGGTCGGATGGTTAATCATTGTTTTTCTCTCCGTCGCAGGCTTGCAGCCCCAAACGCTGCCCGCGGCAACTAACCACAAAGCACGGCTTAAGCACAGCTCCCATGCGTTGTCTACTCCAGCTTGTCCTCAAGCCACTTCTTAGCAGCCTCGGGTGCACGCACCTCCTTCGCCTCGATTTTGATCTTCAACTCCTTCACGTTCTCGAGGTACGATGCGCATTTGGCCGAACTCTGCGCCGCGAGAAACTTGCCACCTGCCATGAGGTAGGCTTCTGGCAGCTTCGCCTTTTCCGACGTCTTCCTGTGGGCGATCGAGATCGGCATGGGGATGCAAGCCTTCGGGTCAAGACCAACTTTTTTCTTCGAAGTCGGACTCTGTTTCTTTGCACTCTTCATCGGCTTGGTCGGCTTGACCCCCAGCAGGTTGGGGATCGTGAGCGGCCTCTTGGATTTGAACCGAACCTTCGGAACCATGGTGGTATCGAAGCGCTGCTTGCCAGCAATCGGGTTTGGAACAGGAATTGCACCAGCGGGAGTCTTGTCCTCGGGCTTCGCGGGCTTCTTGTCCTCGGGCTTCGCGGGCTTCTTGTCCTTGGGTTTCGCAGGCTTCTTGTCCAAGGGCTTGTCGTCCCCCTCGTCGTCGATGATAATGGCATCGATGCCGCTGCTGGAGCGCATCTTAGCGCACTCTGGACAATGGCATGTCATTGAAAGCATCTGGCATTCAACATCCTCAGCCTCGTAGCATTCCCCCTCGCTCTGGTTGTCGCCTACGTTGTACAGCTGTTCGACATCCTCCAGATTTAAGGCCTTTTCTGGAGGCGGCCTCTCGCTTGATGTGCCCCTCGAGGAGCTAGTGTCCCCGCCGGAGGATTCGGGGACCTCGCCTGGCAGCTTGATGATCGCGGTGAGGTTGCGAAGGGACGGTATGTCGATGTCATTCTTCTTCAAATTGTAGATTTGTTTTGCCATCAGTCTCCACGCTGCCGTAGACTCGTCCAGAGCCCGCTCGTTTACCACATTGTCACTGGAGAAGATGTCATAGCGCTTCTGTAATTTTGCGAAGGTGCTTCTGACATCGACATGAGAAGGGAAACCAGATGGAGCCAGTTCCAGAAGACCTTGAAGAGGCGTCCGATATTTCTCCAAACTACTGTAGTCTGTGGCCTTGCTATCGAATGATGAACCGTCCCAGTGGAAGCCTGGATCTCGAAGGTTTAAAATTTCTTGCCACTTGCTGATGAGATCATCAACAACAAAATGGTATATACGAGGCCTGATTCGTTTTGGCGCCATGGTCGCTTGAGCCCAAATGGCTACGTGACCATGATGATGACGATGCTTAAGATGGCGGTGACGATGACGACGAACACGCCCATGTCAGAGGCCCCCATCTTTCTGTCTGGGGGTACTCAGTGAGCGTTTTCTCTCGTAAGTCTCGTGATTTTCCGTGCCGTAAGCTGCATGTTGCAGCACGCAATCGCCAAAGGCATCCAAAAACATATCCGCCGCGCTGAGCACTCTGTCTTCAGCACACTAGGCATGTGAGGATATCTGCACATCACGCAGGCGTTCGATATCATCCCCCCCCCGAAACCAAGTATGCTGCGTTCATGTTTTCTTTAACGCCAGTTATAACATATGTGCCGCATTATAACTTAAGTTAACTATTCGCTATTTAGCGCGTGGTTGTTTTAATGTTGGCTAAGTGCAGTTTAGTTAAAGCACCAGCCGCTATGTTAATATTAATAAGGTTCTAGAAAATTGATAGTCTTAGGCTACTGGGGTGTGCCGACATGGGTCAAGCGGACGCATGGGGACCCTCCCACTGGGGCATGTCACGAAACCTGTGAGTCAGGGATGTACCGAAGTGGATCGGGCGAACGTTGGGGCCTTCGGTGCAGCTCCCCATGGAGCCACGAATAGAGGTGTCGCAGTGGGTGGCGCGGACGCATGTGGACCCTGCCACTGGGGCCTTCGGTGGAGCTCCCTATGGGGCACGAAACGAATGAAAGGTGTGCTAAAATAAGTCGGACGGACGCATGTGGACTCTGCCACCCACTGGGCCACGAAACGTGTGAGGGGTGTGCCGGAATGGGTGGCGCGGACGCATGTGGACTCTGCCACTGGGGCCGTCGGTGGAGCTCGCTATGGGGCCACGTAACGAGTAAGAGGGGTGTACCGAGATGTGTCGGGCGGACGCATGTGGACCTTGCCACCCGTGGGGCGACGAAACGTGTGAAGGGTGTGCCGAAATATGTCGGGCGGACGCATGTGGACCCTGCCACCTATGAGGCCACGAAACGTGCGAGGAAGAGCAGAAAAGAGGAGGGGGAGGAGAGGATGAGAGGAGGAGAAGGAGGACTAGGGGACTGTCTCTTCAAAACGAGGACCCAACACCAAAGGATTGTTGGGAAATGCAACATCGTGAAAAATGACGATTGGAGCCCAGGACCCCATCCATCGTTCTAAGACGAAGCCGAGACGAGGATGAAATCGGATGAGAATGAATCGAGAATCTTCCGGCGGTCCTGGAGGATGTATCGGGCGCCGCGGCCTTCTCAAAACGTTCCGGAAGGCTCTGAGAGCGTTCCGGAACGCTCTGGAACGGACTTATCCTCGTGGATCAATCTGAAGGTCCCGGAGCCCGAAACTGGGCGAAAACGCCCGGCTCGAAAAAGTCGAGACACCAAGATCTAAGGGGGCACCTACCTTCAGGCGCTCCTGAAGATGGCAGAGAGAGGCCATCGCTCAAAGGGGACCGAGACATCTGAGCGACGATCAAGAACAGGTCTGACGCGAGATGACATAACGATCTCACGCGGTGGCTGACACGGGCCACTGGCGGGGCATGCTACGTTGGACACGAAGGCGTTGACGCGCGACCATACGCGGGGAGCTGACGCGCCATTGTCGGCGCAGTCGAGACTGCTTTCTCGCGTCGCTCATCTGGCGCTCAAACTTTTTCGATGCGCGGACCTCAGGAGCTCTGGACCACTCGCTCGTCATCCTGAGTCGTTTTGCTGGCGGTCCCAGGGCCCGCTGAAGGCCCCCAAGCGCTGGAGGTCGAACATAGCCCAGAACCCGCTGCTCCAAGTTTGGTCGGAGCATCGGATCTCTGGGGAGCATCGGATCTCCGGGGAGGAGCAGGGGGGCCCGGTGGGCAGGGGGCCTCAGAACATCCACAGGCACGGTGCGGCGCACACAGGGGGGGTGGGCTCGGGGGGGGGGGGGGGGGACCCGGCGGGTCAGCGGAGGAGCGATGGGTGGCGCAAACGGGGCGGCGGCCCGCTTTCGGAATTCGAACAATGCGAAGACCAAACATGGGCAGACCCGAGCTCCGACGAACCCCGAGCCCTGCGCTTCCCTGATATCCTGCTGGCTGCTGCCCCCGCGCAGACGACAATCAGAGGCCTCCCAGATGGATCCCGAGAGTCGATGGGGTCGGAGGATCTCGCCGCATCGCCGAGGCATCGCCGAGGCATCGACGACGCGTCGGCGATGCCTCGGCGACGTTTGCGATGCGTCGGCGACGCCAGCGTCGAGAAAGTCGGGCTCCACATCTCGCCGCATCGCCGATGCATCAACGATGCGTCGGCGATGCACTGGCGACGTCGGCGGTGCATCCGCAACGCCGGCGCGGAGAAGATCGTGCTCCGCATCGAGCCGCGTCGCCGAACAGCGTCGGCGAGGCGGCGCGGTCCTCCGACCCCGTCCCCTCGGACCCCACCCGGGAGGCCGAGGAGACGAGCACCGCGTGCGGCGCCTCGTGCCCAGGCACTTGCCCCCCGCCGGAGAGTCGAGGGCAGCGCCCGTGGCGCCTCGGCTCCGGAGGCAACGGCCGGGACCGGCCGCCGCCGGGCCCCACGGGTGACGACGGCGCCTTTGCCCTGAGATCCTGGCGTGCGCAACCTTTGCGAGCCTGGAGTTTGCGCCCAGTTTCCCTCACAGGTCGACCCGGCTCGAAAGACGGCGCAACAAGATGGGGTCCAGGGCTCCGGTCGTGACTTTGTCACGAGGTTGCCATTTTCATCGAGGCGTCGGACCTCAGGGCCTGGGACAGCGCGCCAGCTGCCTCGGCGCCGAGCCCCAGGCCCCTCTCAATCGAGATGCAACGGGGAGAGCGAAGCTTCGTGCGCGGAGGATCATGCGGAGATGATCGTAGAGTTGAGTCGGGCCTACAGGAGGATTTTTCGACGAAAAAAAAATACTCAAATAATACACCCATATGGTCAAAAAAGTGCAACAACAAAATAGTCCCCAGACTATTTTGGGACTATTTTTTGAATATTCCTCCTGTAGAGGGGACAGGCCCGACTGAATCGTAGAGTCGGCGTGCATCGACAACTCCAGTGCAACCAGGACGGTCCCCAGCGAGA